ATTGCTACCTCTCTGGTGCTTTAGGTACCATTGTTTGTTTGATTTCTCTGTCGTAAGCATGGAGCCTCCGTGTTGGGGAACTTCTTTTACAGCCCTCTGCCATCCACTTCCTCAGCCGGTCAGCACATCTTCAGCTTCTCATGATTCCATCTACACATCAAGCTGTCTCCAAAACCCTCCCGAATCAGTGCTCTACCTGCCTACTGCAAGTCATTTCAGTTAGGAGGGCGGTTTTCCTTGTGGCCTCAGGTTGCTTTCCCACAGACAAATGCAACAATGTTTGGATATGTGTTAGGGGCAGTTTAACAGAAGATGACATGATAAAGATACATTACTCATCTTCACAACCGTCTGGTGACTGATTTGCACATAAAAAAATGGGTGTTACCCGGAACCTCTCAGCTAATAAGTGCATTACAGTGTTTGCTTGCTTACTTTGCCTCCCGGCAGTTTTTCTTAGACTCAGCTGTTGACACCCCCACCCCTAAGGCGAGAGAAGAAAAGAAAAAGTCAAATATGAGGCTGCACTGTTGGTTTTGCACGGGCTAACGCGGGGCTGAAAGAGCCTGAGAAAAGGTCATCAGGAGATCATGCCGCGTTTTAGAGAAAAGCTATTTCAAAGATTTAGCAGAGGCATCCAACGAGCTAACCCATTTGGACCCCTTTCTTTGGCGACGCGTTTGAGCTGAGGTGTGCCTTTCTGAACCTCCCTTAAAAGCTATCTTTTGCGTGCGTAATACAGTTCCAGTCCATGCTGCTTTGGACGTGATCAACTCTTACTAGAGGCTGGTATCAGGTAGATGGGCCTGCAGCATTGCACAGCTAGCTTTAACAAGCTGATAGGCAAATCCCTTCCTGGTTAAAGATTAACCAGTCGCTGGAGCTGCCACTGCATTATCTCCCCGCTGGCCAGGGCACACAGGAGCCAAGAGGATTTACTTGATGCGACCGTGCGTGTGTGCGTGTGCGACGGTAATCTGCATTCCAACCAGCAAAGGGGTGGAACTGTGTGTTTGTTTGACGATGGGAGTTAGTGATCGGCTTTTCTCCCAGCTGGGTGTTAAAACTGTGTGTTTACTCTATGCCATTTAGCAGTCAATCTGTTCTGTGTGCGAGTGTGAGTAAGCAAGGCTTCTGTGTGTTTGGGTGGATCATATTTACCTGTTGTTGGTTGTAAACTGCCATTTTCTTTCCTCTGGGCGTTTTTTTTTTTGTGGTTGTTTTAGGTGTGTAACAGATTTCGGATTTGACTACAAGTTGTAAACGTGAAAACAGAAAGATGTTGCTCCTTTTTTTAATTCTGATAATTTAAATCAGTATAACTGTGCATTAAGAGTCTAAGCCATGCATCTTTTTTTCCCAATCCGAAGCAGTATCTGAGTTTCATTTGTCTGACTTGTTAAAGATCTGTGACATGTGCTGTTTGACTCCCAGATGACTCCCTGATTACCTGTGAGATAACGCCATCTGCTGGATCCTTGAAGAACGTAGTTGAGTCTGAACTGATGTGGAGCAGCAACACTTTGCTGGAAGTGCATGAGACTTCCCTCACCAGGCTACCCAGGCTGAGAAAAGACTGGCTTCTCTAGCATGACTTGTGTGTTTCCACTTCTGGAAAAAAAGACGTCTATTGAGAGAGAGGCGTGTAAAACATTAGAGCGAGCTCTCATGTGTTAGGCCATGTCCACCCTCATAATGCAATGCTATATAAGTTTAGTCCCGTCATACAGATTTTATAACCTTCAGGGCCTTGGCCAAGCAATTCTCTGTTCATGCTATAAATAATTTATGGGCTAATTGGAAAAACTCCACGGTTTATCCTCCCTCTATAAATACTGTCAGCCATTAGTGATGGCCTCATTGATGTTCATAAAGCTTCACTTTTTCTCCGTTTGAATTTTGGGGATTTTTTTTGTCTTTGGTGGTCTATCATGGAGAGTTTATAGGAAAATGAAGGGGGGGGGGGCAACAAAGCCTAAACTCCAACAAGGCAATTGTTTACCTTGTGTTTGTCTCTACATGACCTCACTGGTCTAAATGGGGGAAAATGTGCAGAGGGAGAATGTTATGCTTTCTCAGATGAGACAAATAGTCCCCTTGGAACACAGGAGCTTTTTTTTTTTCATAGGGGTGACTTGTGGGGTAACGTTGACCCCATGTGGCTTTCTGCAGAAAAACTCAGTCTTTCCTGTCATCACTCTCACTCTCGCTCCTTCACTGTTCTGAGAAGAGTAGCAAATGACGGAAGGAGGAAATGACTAAAGAAACAAGTTATTCACACCCCTGCAATGACAGCGAGGCTGACAGAGGGGAAGTTAAACCCATGCTTTTACCCTTTTCCTGAGCCCTCCACCCCATGAACTATTACATGTTTATCCTCCCCCACCCTGGTAACAACTTTGTGTATTTCATGTGTGTCTGTGTTGTGTTTGTTAGTTAGATTGCATGTCCATGTTTTTTTGTTGGGACCCCCATGTTCAGGGAACCATGTTTTCTGTGAAATGGGAATTCTTTGTTGCAAATGAACAAATCCATGCGTTTAAAAATAGATTAAAACACAAGCAAGTTCCATTCTGGAGCTGTCAGGTTTTACACAAGCTGAGACACGTCTTATTTTCTCTTAACTATTTTTTCTTTTTCTTTTTTGTCTCGACGTTTCCTACCTGCCTACACCCATCTGTATGTCGTCACACACACACACACACGGACACATACACACACTTTGCATGACGGCCCCCCAGCATGGGGGGTCAGATGTGGTGACCAAATAAGCACCCTCCTCTGTTCCTCCTCCTCTTCTCCCCTCCCCCTTCAGTTTGCCATGGCAGAGCATGCATGCCTGTGTCTGTTATCTCCAAATGGCTGAGGAATTATAGGTTGAGAGGGGAGGAGGTGGAGGAGCGAGGGGAGAGTGTGAGGAGGGAGGGAAAGCGGGGATGAGGTCATGTGACATCGCAGCAGCTGCTAGCCTAAGAATTTCTGTTTTCTCACTTAGGCACAGAGAGAGCAAGGAGGGGAGAGATAGGCAGCATGTGTGGTGTGTTGCTTTGTTAGATAAGCTCTAAACGGCCTTTGTGAGCGGTACGCGAGAGACAGGAAGGCTGGGAGGGAGAGGGTGGATGGGCAAAAGGAGATAGCTAGACGGGGAGAGTGTGAGAGAAGAGCAGGAAGATGGTGTGTGTCCTGTTGGCCGCTGCCGGCGTGTGCTGGGATGGGCTCAATTTGAAGATGCAGCCATGGGGGATCCGGGCGGCTCCGCTTCTTTGTGCAGTAAGGAGCTTCGGTTACCCTTTTGATCTATGAGGGGGATTCAGGCACCACTACCAGACCTCGGATGAGTGTGTTAGTCAAGATCGGTCCGTGTTTTACTTCCTTGTGTTACTCGCATGCTTCTTTCTCTCCGCTGTGGTTTCAGATGTGTGGTTTCTCGCTCTTACAGCACAGAGCGCTCTGTCTCTGTAGTGGGTTGGTTTCCCAAAAAGTTCTCTTTTAAACTCACATATATTAGTTTTTTTTTTTTTTGGAGAGAGAAGATGGGGAGGAGCAGGTTGTTGTCTTGACAAAGTCAGGGTATGGGACTTGTACTGGACTTGGTGTGTCATTCTGTCAGTGATGCTGTGTTTGTTGTTCAGACTGTAGTCATTGTGGATTCTATTATTAATTGTATGCTGGGTTCATTCAGAGTGCACTGGGTAACCGGGAGGTTACAGGCCGGACAACTAGAGGTGTTGGGAATGCTATTCACTGTTTCATGCCTGACTTGCTAATGTTGTGTCCACCCAAACACGCACGCACACACACACACACACACACACACACACACACACACACACGCACGCACAGAGTGCTGCCCTTCTGCTTTCTTCTCAGGGGGAAACTTGATCTTTTTATAACCCTCTCAGACTCTGGGGTAAACCCAGATATGACTGGGGCTTATCTAATTGTGGTTGGGTAGTAAGGAACTCTCAGAGTTGCAGAGCTTTTGCATTTTCAACTCTGGATGCTGTGATCTCAGCTTGAGGTGTGCTGTGGATGTTGATATAATGAGGATCGGGAATATTCCACAGGATGTGTGTGTGTGTGTGTGTGTGTTTTATGTTGATACCTCTTTCACACACAAACCACACAACTCTGATGTTACACTGCCCTCTGAACCACCCCTTTTTGTATGTTTTTGCAAGTATGTGTCTGTTATGCTTGAGCACGTAGGGCTATCAGACTTGGTGGTGGCATTCAGGGATTCCACTGACAGAGGAGCTGTCAGCAGGGTTCAGTTTACAGCACACCCAGAGCAAGGAACGTGACAGCCATCTCAGCCCCTCTCAGCCCTCCGTCCACCGCAGAGCTCCTTTAAGTCTCACCTCAGACTCACACACAACCTTTTTTTTATTTTGAACGGTTTGTTGAAATTCAGAATAAGTCTCAGGTGTCCTCACTCCTTTCTTAGGAAAGGTTCTTTTTGAAAGTTTCTTTCTCAGGCAACACCAATCTGATAATAAAAAAAAGCATCTCCTTTTTTAGGGGCAGTTGCTAATTTGTCACATCTCAAGGAGGAGCATATTGCTGGATGTGGATGTGCCGTCATGTACAGCACTGGACCATATGCTGACACCGACAACTGAGGCAACCCTTGTAGGGTCGGAGCATGCTCAGTGGAGTTGCTGCGTGAGCTGTGACAATGGATCTCCGGCAGACGCGCACAATGCTGAAGTTCTTTTTGCAGCAGAGTGACCTGCCCTTCTCACCTCTCACCTCTGACCCTAAGACATACAGCCACCAATCCCCAAGCTCCCAAGCTGTCTCAAACAGACACCCACCCTCTCTGCCCTGTGTCAAGGCAGCAGCCAAGTGCCTTATGCTGTTCACATTTCTTTGTCCGCCTTGTTATCAGAACATGTATTCCAACATAAGTAATTGTGTTTGGGTTGATGGCATTACTATGGATTCAAGTCTTTGTAACTTCGGTTTTTCCTCTTTTTTAGTTGTGTTGATGATAATAATTGTGTCTTCCTACTGTCCTCCCTTGTCCATTTGTAGGCATGAGCCATGAGCCAAAGTCACCATCTTTAGGAATGATCTCCACGGCGACACGTACCACGGCGACAGTCAGCCCCCTCACCCCGTCACCTCTCAACGGCTCCATCGTAGCAAATGGAAGCCCAGCTGCTCAGTCAGCTCACTCTGGATTTGCTGCAGCCCTCCGTAAATTGGCAAAACAGGCCGAAGAACCTCGAGGTAAAGCCACACATTGGATGTGTTCAGTCATTTTTTTGCCTGTCTTAATTTTAGTGTTGATCTCTTCCCTGGTTTGCCTTTAATCTAAGGTGCATTAAGATTGCCGTGTTCATTGTTCAAAGAAAGGTTGCAACCTTTGCCATTTTTGTTTTTTTGTTTTTGTTTTTGTTTGTTGTTGTTGTCCTGAAAGTGTGAAGTCCAAACATGTATCATGTCATCAGGATGCTGGTGTATTTGAAAGGAAATTATCTATTTTTTTACTCTTGATGATTGTATGCAAGTGTTTGTTTCATTCACACTTTTACTATCAATGACACTTGTGTTTCAATCTGTTAGAATCTCATTAAATCAAAAGTTGTGGCTTGCAGGCTTAAAGTTGTGATTATCTTGGAGTTAAATCCTACCTTTGCTGGCTCAGCACTTCTTGTCTCACTGCTATTGTGCTCTATATACATTTGTACACTTTTACCACACTTAAGTTTTGCATGTAGAGCTGCGCAAAGCCGCAAACGACACTGAAGTGATATCTGCATTGAATGGTTGTTTTTCCCAGAGCTGCTTGTGTAATGACGAACAAGTGTAGCTGACCCATTTAGTGTGCCTGGTGTGAGTCCATGAGGATGTGGGCTGCTTGTCAGTGTTCGTATCTCGACTCTACTCTTCCGTGTCTACATATATTCACGTCAGCTGCATCAGCACTAAAGCGGCACCGCTTATTTTTCCACTCTCTCTGGTATTTAAAAAAAGAAAATATGATAGCTGATCTTTAAATATTTATTGGAGATTTTTAGTTTTAAGTCTGCAGGGTGTGGGGACTTTCCAGCCTTATAGCTTTTGTCTGTATGTTGGGCACATGTTAATCAGGGATCTTTTTATGTTGTGTTATGATAGTGCACATAGGCGTTTTTGAATCTACACAAAAAGCCTCAGCTGGAGAATTTTCATTGTGGACGTTTGTGTGAGTGTTTAAGTAAATGTGTGTGTGGCTCTGTGCCTTGGCTCCAGAGAGGCCCAGCTACACCCCCCACCCCCCTTTTGGCCCCGTTAGAGCTCTTAAATCAGATGGTCCCCTCCTTTTTTTTGCTGTCCCTGGACACTAGGCTCTCCAACCCACAGCAGTCTGGGACCCAGAACCCTGCAGATGATTTATTTTCCTCATAGACAGGGCGCTCAGACCCAACATCTCCTCACCTCCCTCTCAGTCTTTCTCCCCTTTATCTCTCTTCAATCCTTCAGCCGAGCATGTCAGCCCTATCACCCTCTGACTATTACTCTCACCCTCTGTAAAACTAAAGAAAATTTACTTCTAATGTCCAACCGTGCCTTGTCATTTTACAGCGACACATGATTTAATTCATGCTTTTTCACTTCATTCCAGTTACGTGCTCGTTCTCCATCACTCCTAACGTGTGTTTAATGTTCAGAGTGCTTTTCGTGGTCTTTGCCATGCAGATAGCAGATCCCGTTTGATAAAGCTCTACCTCATTTTCAATAAAGGCAGAGTTAAGTCACTTTGGTATATTTTTAGGCCTGCTGACTGTGCTGCCTGGTGGAGAAGGTAGCAATGTGTTGGTGAGTCAGCCCTCGGGCATACAGTAAGGTGTGCAACTGCCTGTTTTAGGAGCAAAGGCTCCAGGGTGGGTAGAGAGTCATGAAGCCTCTGGACCTTAACTGTCTGCAGAGCCTGTATTTATAGGCAACACACACACGCCCAAATACCCCCTACACAATGCAAACAGTTGTCGTTGCAACTCTGTACGCCTTCTGATTTCTTCGCATGCTCCAGCCTGCTGTCCTCTCATTACCTTTTGACTCAACCTCTTTTTCTCTTTCTCCCCCTCTACTTTATGCTTGTAGGTGAATAGCCAGTATATATGAGATGCCATGACTCACGTTCGAAAAGCCTTGAGGAATTATTTAGTTTTGCATACTAGTATCACTGCCACCAGCTGCTGCACTGATTTAAGACCCTGAGCACGGCTGCTGTTTATGTACACACCCAGACACCCGTACGCGCACACGCAGACACATACATCGGCACTTGTCTGTGGCGAGTATAATGAATAGCTCTGTGTACTGAGTGCTACGCTGAAGAGGGGAGGTGATGGATAATGAGTATCGGAACAGCATAAAGGACACACTCATCCAGTGTACACTCTCACGTGAAAGCAAACCCACACAGACACCTCACACACTGCCTCAGAAAGGCAGACCTGCTGATATCTGATTAATTAGGCAGATTTGGGTTTAATCATCTCAGTTGTTTCTTCTCACTCGCTCTTAGACACACACAAACTCCACAAAAGTTTGACGGCAACGTTCATACCAAATGTATTCCGTTGCCAGGTGAGAAAATGAAAGTGGATGTGAGAGCAAAGATATTTCCTTTAGCTGAAATCATTAAAGAACAATAGGAAGTAATTAGTAGATTGTGGAAACCAGGGCTGTTGCTCAGATCGCACGTCTCTGCCTGCGCTTTAAGTGGATGTGTGTGGCCAGAGGCTTCCCTTGTTTCTGGGAGCTCAGAGTATGCTGGGACAGCGGGGCAGTGCGTCTTTGACCTCTCCATCTGGAGCCTGCCTGGAGCTCACACAGCCTCACTGTGAGTGTGTGTGTGTATGTTTCTCAAAGGCAAAACCCTTCTGGCTGTTACTGTCCCTGAAACACTCACCAACAAGTTAATTTGCTCTCCCCTTCCTTCTGTCTCTCTGTACACGACAACTTCACACGGCTTCACTTCTAATGGTGACTCTGATTAGAAGCGAAGCATCGTGGAGGCACCACGTACAGTTGGTACAGTCGGCAGAAAGAACACAGGAGTGCTCCTCTTATTTCCATCCGCCATCTTGTATTGTCTTCCTTTCTCTCACTGGCACAGCAACACATGCAGTGTGTCTCTCTGCGCGTGTGCGCGTGTGTGTGTGTGTGTGTGTACGTGCGTGTGTGCGCGCCTCTCCCCTCCCCCGACTCGGTGATGCAGATTACAGGCTTTGTGTTGTGTTGTCAGTGCACGGCCAAGACTGTAGTAGCAGGTGTGTGCAGCGTTTGCGTGCGTCCGTGTGTTTGTGTTGGAGAGTGTGCACGTGTTGAGGCTTGTGCTGGTGGGGTGGCATATGGATGCAGGGCTGGCTGGGCACTGCTATGCACACCAGGTGTGAAATGGACTGTTTAATTAAGTGCTGATGTTGTTGTAATGCATGCTGGGAGGGAGGGTGGGTGGGGGAGGAGGTGGGTGGGGGGGTTGTTGGCAGGGAGGTGGAGAGCAGCCTCTGCCTGGCAGGGTGAGACGTACGCTTGGCTGTTTCGACAGAGGTGATGGTGGAGGCAGAGGATGGGGAGGGGCCATTTGGCAACATGAAATTGTTTTTCCGCCCTGTGCTGCTGTCTGTTCAGGTAATGCGGTGAACCAAGGCCTGTGTTTTTTGCCCCTTCATGGGGTCAGTGGCAGAGGTAAAAGGTGTTGCCTATGCAGAGACACTTGGCCCCTGACCACAGCTGGTTGGTTTGTTTATTGGCACGGTGTGTGTGTGTGCGTGTGTGTCAGAGGGAGCGGGTGTATGTGGCTCAGCTTGAGCAATCATCTGTGGAGGCAGACTGGGAGAGTGGGGCGGGTAATGGAGGTGGCGATGGAGAAAGGAGCTTCACATTAATCACACAGAGCTGGGGACTGACACAGGATTCTTCCTTTTTTTCCCTTTCAATTTTTGTTGCTCTTTTCCTTCTGTTCGCATCCTCCGTCCCTCCCTTTCTTGCTTTAGCCCCTCCCGAGCCCTTTATCACACCCCGCACACTTCAACAAGTCACCATCAGTGCAGCTAATGAAGTGCAGGTTGAGAGCTGATGAGCCTGTTTTAGACCCTGGGGAGGAAGACTTGTGATTCCCTCTTCCTCCTCTTAAGTCCCTGCTGGCCCAGCATGTGTGGCCATCTTCTCCCTGCATAGATGGAAGGAGAGGAGCATATGGTGGTAATAACACCGAGCTGGTGCCAGTCGCATGTTTTTATATATGATTTCTTTCTCTAGGACACAGCCGTCTGATGAGAATTAAGCAGGCGAACGCGCACACGTACACATTTAAAGAGCGATTGAGCTACATCTGGACAGTAAGCCCAATCATAGAGGCAATGGGTGCCTGGGGTGTTGTTAAAGATCAGGAGGGAGAAACGACATGAAAAACAAATTGGAGTTTTTTTGTTGGATTTTGTTTGTTTTGCGTGTGTTTGTGTGTGCATGTGTGTGTGTGTGTATATACCGTGCATGCCTATCGATGAAAGAAGCTTACAAGTGCACACAGCTTCTTCAATCTGCAAGAACAGAAAAAAGCCATCGGTAGCTGGTTCTTGTCTCTTTCATTTTTGTCCTAGCCTCACCTGCGTCTCTCCCTGCTCTCCCTTAATTATTTAGTCTGCTCTGTCTCTTCCGTGGTCTGCTCGGCCTCCTCCTGGAATAGAGGGAGGAGATGGGGGCGAGGGACATGGGGGGGGGGGGGGGGGGGGGGGTGTTGTACATGTCTGTTGCTTAGCAGTTGAGAATAACCGTGATTTTTTTTTTTCACTGCACGCACACACACATCTCCTTCTCCCACCGTCCTGGTGTAGCCCCCCTTCCGTCACCCCTTGCCTATGCATATTGTGTGTGTGTGTGTGACATGAGTGAATAGGCTGTGACATGAGAGCTGTATTAAGTGTAGCTGTGTTCCCCAGGCTGAGTGGACTGCTATTGATTGGCCTAGTCTTGCAGGGGAGAGTAATGGCTCTCTGAGGTGAGGGGGGAGGATTAGGCCACTAATTGCCATTGTGCAGACAAGATATAACTGCCCCCACCCCGCCCCATCTCCTTCCTCCACTCACCCATCTGCACCCCTCATCTCTGCTTTCCTTTCTGTTCCCTCTCTGATATCTCACCTCACACCTCTTCTGCAGTCCTCACTGGTTGTATTTTTCTTTTTTTTTTGCAAACCATCAGTCTCCTATAATTTACCTTTTTCAGGTCTCACTTCACATGTATTCACACACACACTTTTTACAACATGGTTTTTAATAGAGATGTCACCTCACTGGCATTATTGATCCCTGCCATTATTTAGTGTTATTAGTGAGAATGAAGGCTTTAAAATCATTAAATGTCCTGGCCGCTCATTCTGCACGCAGACATTGTCTGGTAGCTTCTGTTACCATGGATAGCAAAGTCAGAAAGAAACAGTGACTCACTTTTTTGTTCTAGTGGTGATAATTAGGGAAGCCAACCTGAAATTGGCCTTTTTTTCTTTTCTTTTTTTTTTCACGCGCACATAAGGCAACATCCCTCGCTGTCCCTTTTGCAGCACAAAGTGTCTGTCCCATTGAGAGGGTTATGACCCATTTTGACTGCGCACTGCGGGGCTTGCTCTGGGAGCCGGCGATATGCAGCGCACCGCTCTGTCAAGAGAAGTTGAAGGCTTACAGAGAAAGAGAGGGGCTGAAGGGAAACAGACACAGTGTGCAGGTTTAAACGCAGAGAAGGGTGTGAAGAACGGGGGGGGGGGGGGGGGGGGTTGCAGGAAGAAGGCCAGAAAACCCGAAAGAAGAGTTGGTGAATGTAACCGAGACTGAGAGAAGGTGAATTGTGACACGTCTAGGTAAACTGTTGGTGAGATGAAGACATGTATAAACCCGAATTGGTGGTTGGAGAGCTTTGACTCAGAGATAGCGAGAGAGAAACCAGAATGTGTTGAAAGGGAGGCATGTGGCCAGATTGTGACCCTTCGCTACAGGCCTTCCCCGAAGGACTTTTTTAATGTGGCACAGCTATGGCCCCACAGAGGAGCTCATTGCGCCTGTTTTCCACCACCTGCTGGGTGTGTGTGTGGGAGGTGGGCTGGGGTGTCCAGCGTGTGAAGCACAGCAGATACACGCAGTATTACTGTTCAGTGTTTATCGCCTTCTTTTGCTGTGTGTGCGTGTGTGCGTCCTGCATGTCAACTCTGTGTAGCTCTCATGGGGCTGCTCATTCTGATCACTGTCAGGGGCCTGAGGCCATCCATCTGTTTATGGGAGTATGTGCATGTGAGGACATCATTCGTTGCTATCGTCGTTCCGAAACCCCTTCCGGTTTCCTCCTGGAGAAGCTACACTGTGCTGCTTTGTCTGTGTTTAGTCAGAGAAAATCTCAACCGTTAAGCACTCTTTTTGACTGTAATTTTGTCGTTTCTCTGTTTTTCTCCAGCCGCATCCTCAATCAGTAGCGAGTCATCTCCAGTCTCCTCCCCAGCCACCAACCACAGCTCTCCGGTCAGTACCCCCAAGAGAGGTCCCCTTGGTCCAGGACCTGTTCTGGTTCCCCCGGCGGGCCACAGTGTGCCAAATACCCCACCTGTAGTCACCATTGCTCCAACAAAGACCAGCAACGGCCTGTGGAGGAACGACGGTCGCCAGGTAAATGCATGTAAACACCCCCTTGCACCGACCTTGATTCTGGACTCTGCTTTCCTCTTTAGTTGAGCTGTTTTTTAAACCTCTTGCTTTTCTGGAGAATTATCTTTATTTTCCTTTCATTCTCGCTGCTTAGTTCAATTGCAAAGCAGTATTGAGATATTCTCATTATGTACATCCAGACGGGCTGTTGAAGGATTAGTAGATATTGTAGCTGGTCATAACAAACTGTGGCATTATCCACTTCACACATGCACATGTGACATAGCTGGTAGGTCTGGGAATGTACCCCCACCCACCCACCCACCCACTCAGTGGCTCCATGCGTTAAACAAAGCCAGCTGCCGCTGGGATATTAGAGTGTCAGCCTCAACGGCAGCTAACATCTGTGCCCCTTGAGGCCCTCTCCCACTTGGCCCCCCAGATTAGTCCCTCCCAAGTCCTGGTCTTATGTTTCCTAAACCTTCAACCTCACCTTTAGCCTCCCCCCTTTCACCTAGGCAGTCATTTGCACCCTCTACCTCCTCAACCTGACGCCCACAGTTGGTGATACGGTGTGGGGCAGAGAAAGATGGAGAGCTGTTTGCTTTGATAAGGAGTGGATTATGGATTATGTCCTTGCTTTAAGCCTTCTTATCTCAGCTCAGGGCTAATGGTTGAGGCCAAGTGCATGGTTATGAGCAGCACTCTGCCACATGCGGAAACTCTCCGGGACACTTTGACGGTTCCCTGGAGACAGACAAAGGGGAGATAGTGAAGGGTGGGAGAGGAGGTCGGTCAGCCGGCAATATGTGGACGCTTTCAGGCTATTGTCCTCCCTCCTGCAAACACCACTGACCCTCACCCTCTGCTTCCACAGCTTTAACAAAATGACCCATTGGCAGTTCAGGGGTCAGCTGGAGAGCAGAGGAGCAATTTTACTGTGAGGTCATTCCTTTGGCTCTTATGTTTCATGGAGCGAAAGGAAACAAACCTGCAGAAGCTTCTCCCTGCTTATGGTATTACTAATTCTTTGCGTACACATTTTTTGTGTGCTTTTCCGTGGTGGCTGTGTGTGTGTGTGTCTAAGAGGTCAAGCTCAAACTGAAAAAAAGGTCAGGTCACTGGGTTTGTGGTGGCCCAGTGAGCAGTTCGGGGCCACCCTGCCAAGAAAGAGGAGGTTAAGGGAGGTGATGGTGACAAGAGACTGGAATGAGGGGTTAGAGGTTGGGGGGACAGCAGGGGAGATGTGTCATGAAAGAAAGCATCATGGGATCTCCCTCATTTGGACTTCCAAAGTCATAAAGAGCCAGGGGCCCATAAAGGACATGAATACAAAAACATTCTGAAAACATTCCCCTTTTATTAAGACAACATAATTTTACTGAATATCTTTCAACAAAAATTTTTTTTTTTAAGTGCAACCGTCTGCATACAGAGGCAACAGTATCCTATCTGGATCCCCAGTAAAGGGTCTGTATGTCTGCCTGCACAACTCTACGTCCCCTCCTTTCTCTGTGTCGTGTCGAAAGGTATTTCAGTGTCTCTTTCTAGCTGAGATATGAGTCTGCCTTTCAGAGGTGGGGTGATAGGCCAGGCAGTGAAGGGGGGAGGGCTCGGTGCGTTGGCATTTTGCTTTAATGACTGCAGGAGTCTGCTCCCGCTGCTGAATGTAATTGCTTTATAATTGGCAATTTGGATTCATAGCTCCATCTGAGAGGCGTAAACGAGCACTCTACAACGCACGGGGTCTCCCACCCTCGCCGAGGGTTACAGGGGCCTGGATCGCACAGAGGAAGATGGCCGTTAATGGATGTGTCCTTTGAATTTGAGCTGTTGTGTTTGTGTTGGGCCGGGTGTGCTATATGGCACACCGCTGGTGAATAGTGTGTGCTTTTGGGCTCGGCAGGAGTCAAAGTGGGCTGCTTGAATGTGTAGAAAAAGTGGCAGAGCTGCTATCTATTCTGGATATAAGGTTCTGTCGTCATGTTTGTGACCTGTTACATCCACCTCTTTGTTTTTTTTGTTTTTTTTCTATATATATTCGAACAAAAGTCCATAAATGAAAATAAGAGTGCATGCAGAGTAAGGCAGGAATATATTACAAACACATTTTGAGAAGCATCTTTTTGACTTTATCATAAATAATCTTTTATGTAACCTTTTTTTTTCTCTTTGCATCTTTGTGACAATTTAAGTTGCTGAAGCAAGAAACTAAACGTGTCAGGGACAAATATGCATCCACAACACCACAATTATTGTTGTTCCATTTTCCCATTACAAGATTTCTGTTGAATTTGTAGAAAAGGAACAGCTAATTCAATTTAGGTGGTAATATGTGCCTGAGAATTGCTCCAAATTACAGTAATTTCATAATTGTAACGATCTTAAACCATGCCCCTGTGACACTCACATTGTGCACGTTGCAGGGTGATGAACAAAGGTTCAACCTCTGCATCTCAACCATTGGTAGCCTGACAAAGAGCAAATATACTTTGTTCCACATTAAATTACCTTAACCTATTTTAATTGCTGAGCACCTTCCCTTAATGATAAGGTGTTATTTGATCCACATTGGCTTTGCTTCACATTTTCTGGATTCCCACAGGTAGCACAGTAAAGCAAAGGGAGAAAGCAGAAACATTCGCTATCATCATGCATCATGAGGATTAAAAAGAAGTTGAATTATTTAGCAAAATGTTGTTGTTCATGTTGATTATGATTATTTGTGCTTCCACAAAAATAAGCCCACAGTTAACACTAAAAGCAGGCATCAGGAAAAGGTACACCCGCGTCAAAAAAATAAATAGCCTGAAGATGCAATGGCCACCAACAATATAGGCTTTATTAAAAATAGTAAGAGGAAAAATAATACATTTATAGAATCACCCTGTATGTCTAAAGATCTTGTGGGACCGGAAAAAAGACATTTGTGAAATAAGAACGAGGAGCCAAAAACAAACAAACTGTATATTGCAGTTCCAGAGCCGCCACTTGATGATGAGTCAGTTTGACATATGAACCTCTTTTCCAATTGGCTGCTGGACCCATCGGGGAACATCCACCTTCTCTCGGTGCTCATAAAGCTTTGAAAGGATTGGGATGGGGTGCTTTGAGGGAATGAAGTGCCATAGAGTGCAGCGAAGCGCAGCAAACCGCAAGGAACAAACGGTAACGTAAGACTACAGCAAAGTGTTGAGAGGGTTTAAACAAAGGGTGATGCAAGAAGCCTGAACGTTCAAGGCATTTAAGGCTGGATGTTGGCGCATCAGTGTCAGCCTGGGTCAGTGGCTGTGGAACAGGACGTGGAGGTAATGGCTCAGTAAATGGGATTTGTTTTATCAGAGGCAGTGAGAGAGAGAGAGGCCAGTACTGCTTTAGGGTCTCTGTCTATTCCCTGGGAGCCCAGGGGTTAATTTAGTGGGGCAAGAACTGCCTTCTCCTCTTCCTCACTCAGTTTTCAGCTTTATCTATATCTTTCAGTCTCCCCTGTTCCTCATCTTTCTCATTGTTCACTTGCCAACTTTTTTTTTTCCCGACATTAAATAAATGTTCCACCTTTCTCTAGAAAATCCTCCTTGACGATAAATTCCTCCGTAAAGGATTTCCTTGTACAACTTACATGGATTGTAACATTTTCAGCTGTGCAATTGCAATTGCAGGCAGAGGAAAACCAAAGCATCAGAAAATGCACTCCCACTCCCACAGCGGGGTGTCTTTGTAGCTCTGAAACAGTGCATGTGCCTGCTGAGCGTCTGTGTGTGTTTGTTGTGGGATTGGCTAAGTGAGACCAGGCTTACTGCCAAAGGGAGGGAGGTGAAAGAAAAGAAGGGGAGAAACAAAAACAGAGACACAGGGATGTTACGTGGTGGACTTTATTGTCCTCCCTGTAGATGTTGTTTTGTGTAAGATACGTGCACACAACACGTACACTCAGACGTTTGCTAAGATCAAAGTCATCATCTGTGGAAGCTCTGCTGTTGTCTACCATTACCACGTCCTCATCGATCATACAGATGTCAGCTCTGCTTACAGTGTAGAGGAAAACAGCAGCGCCATCTCAGCTCCCCCATTTAAAATGTATTACCTTACAGAAATGTTAAGCTGCCAATTTCTGTTTGGAAGCGATATGTTAAAAGGAATTTGTACTAAAGTGCCTAAGGTAGCGAGGGAGAGGGGAGGCTGCCAGGCCTCAAACAGACCAACTCTTCCTCCCCCTCAAACGTTTGGCTCTATGAGCGGTGACAGCCGTGACGGTCACAGGTCCTCACAAACAATGACTAAGACTCTCTGTCTGTATCTCTCTCCAGGGTGACTCGGGGCCTCGTGGGGCCAGCAGGGAGCGTCTGGGCGCAGAGGGGTCGCTCTCCCAAGAGAAGGGAGGCCCCTCGGTTCCTGCTCACCTTTTGGGAAACCCCTATGCCTTTGGTCTCACCCCTGGTGCTGTCATGCAGGACTCCCGCTTTCAGCCACTGAAGTAAGTAAAACAGGGATTTATTTAGTCTTTTTTTTAATGAAGCAGTAACTTAGTTATGAAAGAAACAGCACACAGCCATTGTGTTGAATTAGGAATAAAACAAAAAGTCATCACAAATGGACATAAGAATCTAAAGGCATTGCTTTTGTTTTCCACCTTTACTCCCTCTGTTTCCTCAGCCTGCCCAGACAGTTGACTAATGCGGTACCTCCGGGTCCGGTACCAGAGGAGTACCTTCGGGGTTTCCGGCCCTATGCTGAGGATGCCCTCAGGATGCCATCTTTGCCCTTGGGCCTGGACCCAGCCACTGCAGCAGCTGCAGCTGCCTACTACCACCCCAGCTACCTGCCTCACCCCTCCTTCACGCCATACAGGTGAGCCTCCCATGCTCTGTACCTCCCCACTACCTCTCACCATCCGAAGTAAAATAGTGTGTCAGTGGCCTTAACCGTAAAATGTGTTGGGGTAATTTGGGGGATAAGGGGAATGTAACCAAGACATCAAATGGCCAAACGATTTATGTCGGTCTCTAAGTAAACTACAGGCAAAGTAACGAAAAGGAATGGAGCCTCCCAAGTGAAATGCATCAGAGTATGAGTTTAAAAAAAGAAAACATTCTAGCATTTTAGTGCAGTGCTTGTTTGCAACACCCAAGCTTAGAGTCCTAAATGATGGATATCCATGGTGTTATTGGACAGGCGGCTGGTACAAAGCCTGTGTTTGAAACTATCTGGGTCAGCAATGTCAAAATGCTTTTAAGAAGCTTATTAAAAATGAATAACACACCCGCTTATTGCCAAAGCCCGTAGTAATGCTGTTAATGTTGCTCTTCAGCTTGCTTAACTTCCCCTCAGTTCTTCACTTTTTTCCACCCAAAAGAAAAATGGTGAATGAAATAAGAAAAGCAATACTATATCTAGTTGTGTTGTTCATAGCTATGTATGTTTGTGACCTGCCCATGGTAGACTTTAAGGCATAGATTTCTTAAAATTGGAACGGCAGTGTTGATAAATGAAGCCTGATACATTTCATTGTACGCCATGCCGATATCATGTGTGTTTTCATGTTTGTGTGTGTGTGGTCTCACAAGCAAGTGGACTGCAGTAGCCATCACGGCCTGTGTTGTAATGGATGTAATGAGGGTTTGGGCAGAGGATGCCCCACACATACAGAGTGTTGTACATCAGAGCACAACACCGCCTCCTGCTAGTTGCTGTGAGGTTAGCTGACATACATTGCTGCATCCTTGAGAGATGGAAGACCCTGTGTTGTGGTCTCTTTGGGAGATGGAGACACTCAGGTTAATGAAAGGGAACACTGCACTGTCACACTGGGATACTGACTTTCTCTCTTTTTTCCCTCTCTTGTAATCCTTACATCCCAGGATGGATGATCCGTTCTGCCTCTCTGCTTTGAGGTCACCTTTCTATTCACTGCCAACAGGGGGAGCGTTGCCCCCTCTCCATCCCCCTACTGTTCACATGCACCTGCCAGGGGTCCGCTACCCTGGAGACTTCACGCATCCTTCCCTGTCAGCTCTGCAGTCTGAGAGGTAAAGTGTCCCGCAGCATCCGTGTGGAGCCAAGATGCGTTTCCCCTTTATGTGTCACTCATATCTACCTTTGCTTCTACTTGACGTATTTTTTAGGCTCCAGCTGGAGGATGAAATGCGGCAGCGTGAGAGGGAGCGGGAACGAGAACGGGAGCGGGAGAAAGAGAGGGAGCGTGAGGCGGAGAGGGAGAAAGAGCGGGAGAGGGAACGAGAGCGGGAAAGGGAGCGAGAGAAGGAGCTGGAGAGGGAGAGGGAGCGCGAAAGGGAACGGGAGCGGGAGAGAGAACGGGAAAAGGAGAGGGAGAGAGAGAAGGAGCTGGAGAGGCAGAAGGAGAGGACACTGAGGGAGAAGGAGCTGCAGGCGTCCAAAGCCATGGAGAACCACTACCTAGCTGAGCTCCATGCCATGAGGGGACAGGAGGAACGAACCAAGCCTGAGAGACTGACCCCTAATCGGGCTGGTACGTGTCCATCATCCCATGTAGCTCTTTTAGGCTCCAGCCATGCTGCGTATGAACACAGGTCCCTTTAAACCCTCACATGTAGCTGAAACAGGCCATCTGTAAGGCAGTGAATGAATATCTGTCAAATCTATGTGCACTAACTGATTATGATAAACTGGATGTCTTTAAATCCAAAGGTCAGAAGAAACCATAGGTGGGAAATTGCATTGGCACTTTTGTTTTTATTTTAGTTGGAAAAATAAAATATTGTTTTTGTAAATCTAATCCAACCTAATCAACAACAATGTTTATCGTGTTGAACTAATATCTGTACTTAGCCAGAAACCATTTATGTACTCATGCATAAATTAGCTTTAGAAATTAGTTAGAAAAGCACACCAAATACTTTCCAGTAAAAGCCAGCTTTTGGCCATTGGTGACTTTTGGCTACAAAGTTAATATCAGACTGGATAATAATGTGCTTCTTTTTCTTTTTGCAGACAAAACCAAAGAGCCCGCACTTCCAGCCCCGAAGCCAGTCCCACCTGGAATCCACACTTCAATGGTTCCGCCACATCATTCTGTTCCTGGCCTGATCTCAGGCCACGGCCTATACATGGGGCCCAGTACTGTAAATGCGGGCCTCTCAGCCTCTATGATCGCTCAGAGGACCAATGAGGAAGAGAGGTGGTTGGCGCGGCAACGCAAGCTGCGGCAGGAAAAGGAAGACCGCCAGTACCAAGTGTCTGAATTCCGCCAGCAGGTTCTGGAGCAGCATCTGGATCTGGGCCGGCCAGCAGACGCCTCAGATCACAGGACAGACTCTCACAGGTGAGACCACATTTCTAAAGTTTAACGTTGAAACTTTAACCAGATTTCCTTTTTCTTGTTTTTTTTGTTTTCGTAATTGCGGTCGCAATTGGTGCTCATCTCCATCAGTTTCCTGATGAAGATGAGGACTTGGGTGGCTGTGACAAGCCGGACAAATGCATGTTTCTGTACACACCGTGTTATTTTTTTGGGCTGTTTCTACTTGCCTGGTTTGGAAAGTTGTTGCACTGTTTTGAAACTTCAGAGTCTGGCAGCCTTTCAGAGGTTTTTTTCCCCAATTTTTTTCAGGCAGGTCTGGAAAAAAAGATAAACATTGTCAGAGGCATCAAATCTAGTCTGTTTCTGTCCAAACCGCTTTCCAGTCCTAACGTGTTGGAAAATGGGTGGCTATGCTGATGCGCTGATTGAAATTGGAAAGTGGGACCCCGATGGATGTTATTTCATATGTGGGAATGGGTAGGGGTCTCAAGCAGTTCAGCCAGTGGGGCTACTAAAACACACAAAGGCTAATTCTCCCCTAATCCTCTCAGCCATGCTCAGCACGAACCTTCCCACCTACCGTCCATTGTTCCAGCCACGGTGTTTTTGTTGTTGTGCGTGATTCAGAGGCTGTGGTTAATGCTGGTAGGACAGGAGTGATACACGAACATCTGCTATCAGTAACCCTACAGTATAATCGCATAATCACAGCTCACAGGCTGCAGATTGCAGATAAGGCGCACAGTAAATCATTCACACACTCCCAAACTCAACACAAACAGGAGGCTGCCCATGCAGCGTACACCAGTGGCAGAATTTATTTGGAATTTTCCTGGAGATATTGGCCATCAGTCATCTGCCTTCCTTTCTTCTTCGGCTCAAGATCCACAGCTAAGGCATTTTTCTACTTTCTCCACCATTGGACACAAATGCATACATCGACAGGCACCATTCAGCATGGTTCCCTTTCTTTCATTTAATCCACTGCTCCTCTCCATCCCTGGGTCATTCATTTTCTGGCAGCTTACAGGAGGACATTTCAACTGGCCTCTTCCTCAGTATAAAGCTCTGAGTGTGTTTGTGTGTGCACACCACACTACAAAGGCCTTAAAGATCAAAAAGAGCCCTGTGTATCTGGAGGACAGTGTGTGCCTTAGCCACATCCTCACTCTGCTCTGGGCTACTCTGTCTGGGATAGATAACACTCCTGTGCACAGACACTCTGACATGAGTGAAAGGGAAAAAGGCATACCATATGAAGACCGTTGTGTGTCTCTGTGCAGAATCTATGATCAGGAAACACTATACATTTTTATGAAAGCTGTGTTGACTGTACTTCACATCTAAAAGATGTGCAATTCTTTTTCTATCGCTACAGATCCATACCAAATCACCATGAACCGGGCAGCCGGGAGCATCTCCCTCACTTAGGGGGCCCTCCACCTCTCATCTCTCCGAAGCCCCCACAGTCGCAGCGTGAACATCACCCTCCTCCTCCTACAACCCTGTGGAACCCTGCTTCTCTTATAGAAACAAGCTCAGACTCCAGACGTAGCCACGAGCCCTCAGGGATGGGACACTACGAGCTCAGTCAGTTGCCCCCAGGGCCCTCCAAATACGAGGACGGAGTGCGAAGAAGAGATGTGGGAGCAATGGAGAAATATCCCCATCTAAGAGGCCCCCCAGGCCTGACCGAGCCCAGCACCTTCCTTGCCGATCTAGAGAAATCCACCCAGACCTTTCTGAGCCAACAGAGGGCATCGCTCTCACTGTCAAGCCAGTATGAAATGGAGGGAGCCTTCAAAAGCAGTGCTGGACTGAAGAGCCTCCAGGCACACCCGGGGTCAAGCAGACACGGACAAGGACTTGGAATGATCCCCGGACCAGTGACGGGACAGGCCTCCACACCGGGCCTAGGTCCAGACGCAGTGCTGATCTTTGATGAGTTCCTTCAGCAGCACCGGCGGCCTGTAAGTAAGCTGGACCTGGAGGAGAAGAGGAGACGGGAGGCCAAAGAGAAAGGTATTTCTCATATGCATATCCTGCTCTCTTAAATGCTTAGAAAATTCAATTCAAATTCAAAGTGTTGCCTTCTGTTACAAGCAGATTCAGATTTAAAAAGTAATGTCCCAGGATCAATTTCTGTTGTTCCTGCAGGTTACTACTATGAGCTGGACGACTCGTACGATGAGAGTGATGAGGAGGAGGTGAGAGCCCATCTCAGGAGAGTAGCAGAGCAGCCCCCACTCAAACTGGATGACTCCACAGAGGTAAAATGCCAGCCAAAACATATTGTTTTTAAGATTTTCCATGATGGAAGACCATATAAGTCATCCTGAGAAAGCACTGCAGTAAGACGATCTGTGCTTTTCCATCTCCCTGTATAGAAATTGGACTTCCTGAGAGTGTTTGGCCTGACCACGGTTGGCAGGCGCGATGAGATTGTGCAGCAGAAGAGGAGAAAGAGGAGGAGGATGCTCAGGGAGCGAAGCCCTTCCCCACCTGCCTCGCAGTCAAAACGCACTCCCCCTCCTTCTCAACTCAGCACTCGCTTCACCCCAGAGGAAATGGATCGAGCGCCTGAGCTGGAGGACAAAAAGAGATTCCTCACCATGTTCAGACTGTCACATGTCACCATACAAGAGAGGAGAGGTATGCATGCATGCAAGTGCATCATCTTCTCCCACAACACATATCAATGTTTCCTATGACAACATAGAAATATTTCAACCTTATATTCAGACACAAGAGGGCTCACATGTGTAAGCCACAGAAAAGTGAGGATGTGACAGAACTGAGACAGTGGCCTTAACATTCCAACATTTCAAGCAAACATCTCCATCTATTCGATCTCCTTTGCTCAGTTCAGCAGGGGAAAGAGTGACTGCATGCTCATTTAGCTCTTAGAGAGCAGTAATCATTCTCAGGGAGTTCTGAAGCTTGCTGATTCCTCATTTCAGCTGAGCTCAACCAGCTTTACTTGCACTACAGCCCCATGAACGTGCTGACTGGAGCCTCCAAGGACATTATAAGGGGTTAGAAAATGGCCATGTCAACCTCGTACGCCTCCACTAAATGCAGCGTACATTAAACAATCCATGCACAATGTAACGCTTTGCATTTTCCCAGTTTGAAAGGCAAAACTGTTTCGACACGTACCAATTGCCTGTCCTCACTCCTTACCCTCACTTAACCCCAAAAACATTTTAATCTTCAAGCAACCCATTTAAAGTGGGTCGAGAAATGTATTTTAGACTCAAATGGTCCTTTACATAAATACCAAATAAAAAGCCTACATACCGTTTGAATTGTGAATTCAGGCTGTGGGCAGAATTTAGTCTTCGGCGTTGTAAAACATCGCTGAACCTCTTTTTACATACAAGGAAAAATTAAAGCTAATGAAATGGTAAGCAATGCACAGACAGGATGAATGCTGAAGTGTGTCTTTCCGTCTCAGACAATGAAAGGGTGGTGGAGCTCCTTCAAGCCATCAAAGAAAAGAGTGTAACCTTGGATACAATCAGGCATTCTCCTCATCCGCTGTGTAAAAGCCCTCCAGCGCAAACCTCTGGTAAGACAAATGCCACGCATTAAGTCATTTATTGATCCATTTTTCATAATGCACCTGAGTGGGGGCTCTGAAGGTGATGTAGTAAACAACAGTCTTTCTGCAGATTGTCAGATGTTGTGCCGTTGACCTCATCATGAATAACGTATGTTTAAACGATTACAGATCCAGCATGTGCTCAGCCCTCCTCTGAATCAGAAGACCACCATAATGTCAGACTGCATAGCCCCCCCTCGCATTGCCCCGCATCCCCTAATGGCCATCCAAAACCCCTCGGGGACACGTTAAGACCAAAGGCACCCTCTTCTCCAGCTGTCTACCCAGACAAGGCCCGGGGGCCCAGTGAGGGACCCATCTCAAAGCGCAGCTCCAGCCTACTCAACAGCTTGCGGCCCCCACTCCCCCTGCAGGCTAAAGAGGGGCTTCAGAGCGTGAATGGACGCACAAAAGCCTGGGACAGCTTCACCCCGGAAGAATTTGCCCAGCAGTTCCACGAATCTGTCCTTCAGTCCACTCAGAAAGCTCTGCAGAAACACAAAGGTAAAAGCAAATTCATCTAAAAGCAAATTATTCCCAACAAATGATTGAGAATCCAAAAACATGTTGTTTTGGTTCAACCATTTATTGATGATTAATTAAATTAAACTTTCCTATGAGACCTTATGGAATCTTGTCTTATAAATGGTGAATAAATGAAAACATTTAAAGTCCTAACTAGTTTCTGTTTGTGGGCTGTTTGTGCTTTCACTAATATTGAAGATAACGGATGAATTTCTGACCGTTGTTCGTTCTGTCCTATCTGGACTCGGCAGGTGGAGCCACCGGGGTGTCGGAGTCGTCTCACCTCCAGGAATCCTCTGTTCACTACAACATTCCCGAGCTTCAGAGCGCCCCCGGCCGGCCCCCTCAGCCGCTCCCACAGCCCCACGCCAACGCACAGTCCTTTCCCCACCCGCACCCACACCCTTACCCTCAGCCCAACGGGCAGCACTTTTCAATGCCCCTCCACAAGGAGGCCTCAGGGATGAGGGAGGACCTGTCCGGTCCAGAGGATTCTGAGGAGGATGAAGACGAGGAGGAAGAGGAGGCATCTGTTCCCAAGTGGCAGGGGATTGAATCTATATTTGAAGCCTATCAGGAATATGTTGAAGGTGAGCAGATTTTTCTCAAACAAAGGGTACTGATTAGTCTTTCTTTTCTTTTCTTCTTTTTTTTACAAAAGCTTCATACTTTGGTTAACAGTGCGTTACAGTGATAATCTTTTATTAAAAAAACAACAACTTGTGTTTGACCATTTATAATGAAACCCACAAATTATGAGCAAACATAAACTCCAGAGTTTTAACATTCTGTCATCACTAGAAAGTTGCAAGAACCCTTCCATCTAATTCATTTATGTGCAAACAGGAGTTAAATGTTACATTTACGACTAATCCAGTCAAAAAAGGCTGAAAATACAGTCTGTATTGTCCATGTCAGGACAGTGTTAACCGCTTTTAATTTCCTGTGTTTGTATATTTATTTTATTCACTGTTTTTCTACCTTTCTGCTCGGCCTTATAGAGCAAAGTTTGGAAAGACAAGTCCTGCAGAGCCAGTGTCGAAGACTCGAAGCTCAGAATTACAACCTCAGTCTGACTGCTGAGCAGCTGTCTCATACCATGGGGGTAAGACACACACACACACACACACACACATAATGCTGTGTCAGGGTATGAATGGAGGTTTAAGCCCAGGTGTCAGGGTCTGAGGCACACACAAATACCTGGCTACTGAGGGTTTAGCAGACACTTGCTTACAGCTGTTAGGATTTCAAAGCTTTGTACAGAGGCACGTACAAGCTAAAGGTCAGAATTTGAACATATGATGTAACCATTGGACACTATTTCTGAGAACTCGAAAGGGTTTTGAGAACTACAAGAGTGGGGAGGTTCGATGGGATGCATTACTGTCTGCTTTTCCCTCAAAACATACCAAAAGGATGAGCAAAATCCAGTCAGCTTCGTCTTTCTTCGTTTTTTCTCATAATGACCGTCGTCTTTCCTTGGTCACGCAGGAGCTGATGACCCAGAGGCAAAAGCTGGCGGTGGAAAGGGAGAAGCTCCAAGCAGAGCTGGAGCACTTCAGGAAGTGTTTGACGCTGCCACAGACACACTGGCCCCGAGGAGGCCATTACAAAGGCTACCCTCCCAGGTGACCCCGACACACTGACCCCAAGCCCCGCAGGCCGCAGCCACCTCCCGCTCACACAGAGACCCAGAGTTTATTTTTCACCGCCTAGTCTTCATGCCTCCGTTTGAGGAGAATGTCGCCGGCTCGATGAGTGAATGAACTATGAGAGTGAATGCAGATGGGTGAATGCACAGGACCATCGAGTGAAGGACAGTCATCCATCGGATCGTGGCTCGCCAGGGACTGCACCATAAGCCACCGACACGTGCCAATGTAGCCAACACAAGACCAGTGGGGGTGCGGGAGCGCAGAGGCCCAGGAACAACACACGCCTGCTTTTCTCATCCCTCAGCTCCCGCTACCCTGCTCAGTCCTCGCATCTCTCACCGCCACAGCTACACAGACAATCCTGCCAATGAGGGAGCAGCTACCCCGGGAGGGGTATCACCACAAGACTTGAAAGCTCCGAAATCTCCAAGCAAAGGCCTCCGGTTAGTCGGGACTGATTTTCTTATCACCGTGGCCACGTGAGGTTTTGAACTGGAAATGCACTTAAGAATAAAAGCTGAAGAACTACCTGGTGGTACTGTGTTACAACAAAGAACTGTTCCAATTAGGGAAGAACCTAGAAAATGCACATTTTTGGAAAGAATTAAGGAAATGTTTTATTTCAAAATAGAAAATTTGAAAATAAGAATTTTAAAGGGTGCTTCAGCCTTGTATTGTATATAATATGAAGACTTAAAAGAATTTTGTATGTTTTTATTACTTTAATCATTGTTCTTTTGAAAGAAAAAGCCTGCCATTTTTATATGTTTCTGCTTTTTTTATTTTTTTTTTTTGGGTTGGAAAAGAAAAGCCTTGCTTTTAGTGTTTGTACTGCTGCTGGCCAGAATAGCTCTTTTTTTGAGATGTTTAACAGAGTGAAAGAAGGCGGGGACACGCTCCTGCTCCTGTTCTGCCCCAGCCCCCCGCAGCTGAGACCAGGCCACCTCGCCGGGGCTCCCGCGCCAGCCAAGCTGGCCCTCAGGCCCCGAGGCACGGCTGCCGCCCTTCATCCCTCCTCTTCACAGTAACGAGTCCGTCTAACAGCTCGCCCGCTCTGCTTCACCGCCGCTGGCACGACTAGTTAGCCTGATACCCACTTACAAAAGATCCAACTCACAGCGATATACAGTATATCTATTTTTTACCTTGGTCACGTGACTTACTTGATTCTATTCAGACATGAAGAGTCTCTGAAGCAGCCAGCCGTTGAGGCTGGTTCTTGATGCTTTATCTTACATTTGGACCTTCTCTTTACTCTTTAGGACGTTGCATAGCATTGGAGTGGCAGCATGACGGTTGTTTTAAGATCCAGGCCCTAGTCGGCAGCCATTTAAGGACACAGTGCCAAAACAAAAAAGAGGAAATTACAAAAAAAATATTGTGATCCTTCAATCAGATTAGTTGGGCGCCAAACATTTAAACAAATATTTTTCTTTGTTTGACCACTAATCCATTTTGAGCATTTTAGGACCCCCAGCTATTTGAAGTTGCCAACTTGTTTTTAGTAAACAATCAGAAGTCACACAAAGAGGGAAAAAAGAAAAGATATTGGCATTTGTTGGTACGTGTAGAAAAGAAGGGGGGGTTGCTCCTGTTGGCTCTGCCCTGACGGTGACGAGAGTTTCCTACCGACTGTCCAACATCCGCCTCACGGTGCCTCGGCTTTATGGCTGGACCCGGTCAGACGCCATCACCCAGTCGTCTCGATCACAGTTTGAATTTCAGGCTGGTGCGATAGGATGTTTCAGGTGGAACGGTGAAGACTTTCAATATCAAACCAGAAGAAAAAAATCTATATGTATAAAACGTTTTGTTTTTTTTAGTACTAAAAGTTTGTTTATATTTAAGAATGAAGCACAACTACCCCTCGTATACACTATATTACAAGTGCCTCAAGAATTTGGGAGCATGTGAATGAGTCGCAGTCCACATGATGGGCATTCTACACCTAACACCAGTGATCAGGGACTTTCCATCTTACATCCAAGCGTCTGCCGTACGTCTCGCACCGTCAAGAACTGACACTAAATTTGTTCATTGAAGCGCATCTCTAAAAAACCTGTTCAGTCCGAACTCTTTCGTCTTCTCGTATTAATTAGGCCTAAGCCAGATCGGAGGAATCCAGCGCGGTCTGTTATTTTTTTTTACACAGCAGTCAGGAGCCAACAGTGCAGGCTGTCAGTAAAGGAGGGAGCATGCATGCTGAGGTAAGCTGCCAATTAGCTGGAGAGGAGGGCGCAGTGAGAAGAGCCTCTTACTCAGCCTCCCAGAGCCTCCAACCCACGCACGCCCCTGCAATAGCCCCATTACTCAGTGGAGGATGTCTAGATGCTGTGAAATGAAATCCTTGTTTTTAAAATGTACTTGTTTGAATTCATTGTAATGTAATATATTCTTTGTTGAATGTAGTAATTAGGTATTTATGAATATATGGCTGTGATTTCAGACAAAAAAGAAAATAAAATACTTCAAAAATGTTAACTATCAAACTTTGTGGACGCTGGTGTTGTAGAGGGGGCCACGAGATGGAGGGGTGGGGAGGTAAAATCCAGTTTTTTTTTTTAATGGTAAAAGTCTTGATTCCAGAATGTCTGCTATTAACAGATCAGTTCTTTTTTTTTTATTAAAACAAGAGAAAGGTGAGAATTGATTTGAGCTACAATTGTGTATTTCTTCTGCAGTTTAGCAATTTTCTTAATTTTTAATTGTTAAAACACACTAAAACTAGTAAATTCACATTATTTCAAGAGTTGAAAACCGTAAGTTAAATCCAGAATACTTACGTCCACTCACAATATCCACACATTTATTTTTGTGGTAATAAAACGCAAACATCGAACACTCCTGACAAAGAAGTTTAAATAAAGGCGCGTCACAGACAGCTGCACATGAAGCCGACATTAAGGCAAACGTGCACGTAAGCGCACGTCCTCCTCAAAAGGAGTCAAACCCCTAAAATGCCGTGACCAGAGTCTTTCCGCCGGTGGAGGCCCCGGTAGGAGCAAACCGTTGCAACAGGTGGGGGTCAGTAGTCCGGCAGCTGGCCTTTGCTGGAGCCAGGCTGCAAGTTGGAGCGCAGCTTGTACATGCAGTTGAGAGAATCCAAAAGGAATGTCCGAATGGTGTTGATCTCCATCAGCGTCAGGTTGTCCAGCTAAAAGGTTCCAACACACAGACACCACAACACATTGCTACTACTGCACAGCTTTCTTTTTTTTTTCAGGGAACAGATAAATAAATGCAAAATAACCAGTAGTCCTGTTGACTAACAGTAGAAAACTGTCAAATCATAGCTTTAGTTTTGTTGTGACAAATAAATTTGTTGTGAAAAATAATCTTAATACTAAAATTAATGGATCTTTTCACCTGAAACGTTGACAAATAAAAAACATGATAACCATTGTGATCAACAAACGGCCAAAGAAAGGCCAAAATTACAAATTCATATGAGACTACAATGAAGTTGTGCGTCCCATAGCTGGTTCTTATGGCACACTGGCCCACATTTCTTCACGTTTCTCTGCTCCGGCACACCCGACTCAGACTACTGGGTCTTCATCAGCCTTTAGCAGGTCCCAAAGAGCCGTCCCATTTTGATGAAATAGGTGTGCTGGATCAGGGAAACGTGGAAGCTATTGTGGCTTCAGGGCCAGGGTTGGGAAACACCGCAGTGAAGAACACCAAATGCAGGTCCTCTGCTGGAACCTTAGCTGGTCCAGTTTTACCTTGGCGTAGGCCTCCTGCTGACTGATAAAGCTGTCAGCAGACAGGCGCAGTTTGGCGATCCGCGTGTCCCAGATGTCTTTGACCACCGTGCGGATCTCATCTGCTTTGGGAATGTTGTCCGACGCACTGCAAAATACAAATATCACCACGTAAGGGGCCGATGCACAGCGGGGCGAAAGGCTGCATCTGTCACTCACTGGTTCAGTAGGAGTTGGGTCAGCTCCATGTAGTACGGGCTGGGAACCGGGGTGAACATATCCTCTCTCCTCTCAAGGTCTCGCATCTCCTCCAGTTTATCTGCCAGATGGACCAAGCGTCAGCACAGTGGGCCGTTAACCTGACGGTGACTCCATACATTTATGAAGAAACTGACACCAAATTTAACTTTATCTTCCCCGAGATAATCATCTTCCAACAGTCCAGACTAGTCATGTAATCAGGTAAATCAACTGGGAATGTTTATTACATTATTTTTGTGAATACAATCTAGTTTCTAACTGCTATAACTTCAGTCAGAGGAACTGGAAACTCTTGTTTACCCTTGTGTATAATGGAATACTTCTTCCACAACTTAAACATATGACTTATTAAAGCACTATTACATCATGGGGAGAAACATAAGAAAAATAAGTCGATCACAACGACTAAACATTACCAACGTCCATCCACTCGGGGGGGACAATTCTACATTTCTGCCTCTGTTTAAAGTTCAGGGCCAGCCACACGGGAACATCCACGGGCAGTCCGGGGTTGAATGGACCCAAGTCGCCCTGAAGAGAGCAGAAGCAAACATTGCAGTTCTCCAGCAAAGACTTAATTTCATTTTCAACATATTGAATCGCTTGTTACATTACAAAAACGCTATTCGAAAGAACAAGGCGCTGGTGCACTTAGGCTAACGTCGCTGTTTTCCATTCTACGGTGTCATGCAGAGGGTCGTTTCCCAAACTCAGTACCTACCCCGATCAAATAGACTTTGTCCAGGCTGAAATTAGGGATTATTTTAACTACTTCCTTCTCTGCAAGGAATTCAACTTCTGTGGGATCCATAGCTGTTTGATACTGCGTTCCCTTTCAAAACTTGCACACAACCAGCTGACGAAAACTCTTCCCGCGCTGTAAACCGTCACGTGGACAAATACGTCATATTCTACAGGAAGTAAGAAGCCAGACCGGAAGCAGCGTACACAGTCTTATTCTTATAGTTTTATTTTATTTTTTTAATGTTATTTACTTATGACTGAATAACTAGGTGAATTGAAGATTCAACAAAACTGTAAGTTTTATTAAATTGTCCGCTTTGTTTAGCCCCGAAGAAGGAAGTGGGCCATACGCGTACAGTTGCAGCTACTGTCCACCAAGGGTCAGCGTTGAGTCAGAAATAACTGAGCATCACTTCCATCAGCTCCAGAATACTTGAACAGAACTATTTATACTTCTAAGAAACTGACCACAATCTTTCCTAAAATTATACACACTAGATCTTGTTTCAGTTGTATCTTTTAATGCCAAATTTAACCACCTTTCTATCAACATTACAGGTCATTTTAGTTGCAACTCTCCACCAGTTGTCCATGAAAACTGGAGTTACATTAATTTTAGTTTTGAACAAATGCATATCATTAAAAATACTTATCTATCAGGCCACATATTATACGTTTACTTTATTTAAAAATGCATAAATGTTTTATTAAAGTTGAAACTGCGCTCCCATTAAATCAGAAACATACATGGAAAACTTAAGTATTGAAAACAGTCTTTTTACATCAATCGTTTAAATCTCTTAAAGACCCTACTCCTTTTACATAATTATGAATTTGATTTATTACAAACTTAAAAATAATTTACTTAAACACACAATATTATTTGTTACAAACTTCAAGAAATTTAAAAATCACACAGCCTGGCAGATTTAAAAAAAAAAAAAGCTTCTCAGTCAATAGATTTAACAGCAGTCTTTTTTTGTAGCTTGTCAGATGGCAGCAGGACAAACATTTAAATTACAGTAAAGAACGAACTGGACATTGGTGAAGAAAAAATACAGGCCGACAGAGCTGACGATGTCATTCATAAACAAAGGCAAAGGCAGGGAGACCCCGACACCAGCAGATGGTGCATGCTGTAAGAGGATGTAATGTCCAAGACATCCATCCCAGTGTTAAACCGGGAATGGATGGCTAGAATGTGTGGTCATTTAAGGCTAAAACAATAGGCAATCCTCTTGAATTAAAGCAGGGTCTTCTGTTCATTCACATCTCAAATCCAATATTCCATTTCTTAAAAAAAAAAAGATGGCTTTTCTCAACATGACATCTTTTAAGAAGTGTTTGTAAAACTATGAAGCACAAGTGCCGCTATCAGATGGGGGAAATCCTCATAGCTTCTGCATGTGAAGGTGCTGCTCAGCAAAGTCAGTCCTAACATTTACAGGAAATGCGTCTGTGTAGGTTTATATTTGTTTTTCTTCCCGTTAGCAGTACCAGAAAATGCTCACACATGAGCAGCCGAAAACAAAAGCACTTTAAACCGTACAAAACGCTTGTCAGCGATTTAGCTTCTCTCCTTTTTAAAAAGTCAAGACAGTTGAATAAGACACCAGTAAATTTACCAAAGACAAAACGAGTCTTGCAAAACACCCGTTCTTTTTAAAAATCAATTTCATTGTACATTCAGTTCATCAAAAAAAATGTTTTAAGTCCATGCCAGTTTAGGAGTGGTCTGCTCTAACGAATCAATCATAACACCCAGTACTAGGGATTTCCCTAACATGGCTTTCTTTTTGTTTTTTTAAACAATTGATTTAGAGTGATCAATTACAAGATAATACAGTATCAGCTCATTTTTACTTCTATCTAAAAAAATAACAACTGACAAATATCCCTCATTTCTGGGAACCAATTTGATTTAGATGTTGGCGCAAATCATCCGAGTCATTGAATAAAATCAGTTAGTAGACATCTGTATAATCCAGAATGACTTTAAATGTATACCAGTGAAAGTGCTGGCCTTAAAGATTTAAGAAATGTGACTCAATCACCTCTTTGTTGTTAATATACAAGTATTTTCCAGGGTACATTTTTTTTTTCAGGCCTCTCACAAACTAGAAAATGACCATCAAAACAACTAACACCTACATTTTTAGAGGAACTCATAATCTGATCTCTGTATGGCTACTCTTTTTTTTTTTTAGATTATAAACTATATAATTAAACTTTTTTTTAGTATATAACAGGAAAGAACACAAACAATTGAAGAGAAAAAAAACTGTTTCATTTGAAGACATATTTAACTTCTTCCCCTTTAGTGCTGCTCTGTAGAGGAGGAGCAGGCGGGCGGCGTGCAGCCGGGCGCCGGCGGGGTCCGGAGTGCGGGAGGTCTTTGCTGGACAAGGACTGGCTGCTGACCGTCTGTAACATCATGCTCACATGGCAGCAACATTTTGAGTGCGTGAGGGTCTGAGGACTGGGACTGGGGGTCTCAGCACAGATCCAGCACAGACTTGTTGATCACTGGGTTGGTCCAGTCGTTCCTCAGGTCGTCCAAGTGGTTGTCAAAGTCAATCAGGTTCTCGTAGGACCTTCCCTCCAGCAGGGTGGACGTGATCTTCTGCGCCTCGCTCCAGTCCTCGAAGGAATCGCTGCGAGACACGTTAAAACCATCAAACTGTCACCTACGCAAAGCTCTCCGTTTTAGCTGAATGTTGCAAATGACTGACAGAGAATCTGGAGGGAGGGGGTCGGAACGGTCAGTCTCGAGACACTTACGTGGTCACTTCTCGGTTTTTCCACTTGTTTTCGTGGTGATCGTAGATGAGGACGATGGGCTCCAAGCAGCTCATCGTTAATCTACTGCTGTCCACCTGTTGGAGCAACACAGAGAGATAACAGATTCTGTGTAAGCTGGCCATAATGTAATAATGCTGTAATAACGCTGGCAATAATGTAATGAAGCCTCCCTAACAGACGCAGTTTCATTGATGTCGTGTTACCATCACTATCGCCGCTTCACTGAAGTTCTCTGAAATCCTGGCGGCCACTTTTTCTGCTACTTGGTTGGGTCTGCAGGAGAAAAAAAAAAGGGGCCCCGAAAAGTTAAATACGGAGCAGGACCACCATGTTTTTCCCCCCTCTTTCCTTTTTTCCCCCTCCCCTTCAGACACAAGTACCTTGAATCCTTTGTGCGTTCATTGGCCTGATAGTATGCAGCAATGATGTAATTATTCTCTTTGCACCAAGTGTCGATCTGAGGAGAGAGAGCATTTCATGTGAGCACCCTCAAAACAACAACAACTAGGACGTAAAAGCAACCTGGATGCACATGTCATATACCCCGTGTGCCTAATAAACTTAACTTAATCATAACAGCTTCTATTTCTGGTTATTTCTTCATAATGATGGATAACTGTCAGCTAAGTAAACTTTAATGGATTTACTAAGAAAAAGAGCGGGAGGACTTTATATTTAGTTACCAATCATTTACAAATCTCATTACTTCTGCAGTTCCCTCTGTTTCAGTCACTGCCAGCACTTAGATTCACACTTTCTACGAATAATGACGATTCTCTTGGTTGGTGCCCGAGAAACGGCCGGTTGAGCGGCGAGATCATTATGACATCAAATAGTTTTTGTAACAATGAAAATGACTAACATATAGAATCTATACAATATTGTGGCTTTCTTTGACAAGGTCTCTAACTTTCTGCTTTACAGGAACAAATAATGTGCACATTTAAAGGCACGTAGCCTTTGTGAGGAAGATTGAGGTTTTATCATGTTAAACAGGATTTTTTTTCTTCTTCATTCCAGTCACAAATTTTAGCAAGAAAAAAAAAACATAAAATGGAAAAAAATGTGTTGACCACTCATAAGTCAATCAATTATCAATAAAAAGTCAGCGTTAACTATGTTTTAAAAATGGAACTTTAATAGGACATTTTTTCTGGCATAAGAAAGTCTCTGAACAGAAACATATCTTAAGCTTAGACTTTTGAAAAGATAAAATACAAGTAATTTTTAAAAAAAAGGAAAACATGACACGAGCTGGCATAGTTAAGTAGTTGGCACGAACTGACCCAAATACACCTGCAGGAGTAGCAGCGTTACACAACTGCCTGACGAACCACACAAACTCCACAACCTCACGTTTAGTCGCAGTTTCACTCCGAAGAACTCACTTCAATCCTGTTTTTTTACCAAATAAGCCGAGAGTCAAAAGTAGAGTGCGAGAGGGGGACTACTTACCAGTGTCAGAGCCACTTCCAGCATGGGAGCCAGTGCTAACGTGCCGTGGAAAAGAGGGACACAGTCCACGCACAAAGTAGGATCACTGTGACTGTCTTTCTTTCTGTCCTTAGTCTTTTCTGCTACCAGCAATCCATTCACGGCACAGTACGGATATTTGGCAGCATGTAAAAGCATTTTACAATAAGCCTGACTTGTGAGTTGAATGGGCATGTTTAAGAGAGAATGTGGGGCAGGGCTCGTGCCAAAGTCACTGGACGGCTAGTTCACACGAAGAAGAAGGGGCTTCTGTCGTTAGCTATCGTTACCTATCATGCCCGAAGAAAAGTAAATATCTACCTCAGCAATCACCTGTTTGCCAGTGTATGAACCCAGACCAATGCCGTATAACCAGCACATGTAACGCTTTTAATCCTCCGAGATTTCAACTATTTTTTTCGGTCAATGAATGACTCGGTGGCCAGAAAGAAAGGCTAATCTTACTTCCACCTTCCACTCGTTTCTGTAGCACCGGTGGTGCCGTAAATCAGAGAACAAGTGGCGTAAAGCCAGATCATCTTCTGCGTAGATTTTACGTACTTCCGTTCCGCGACCTACTTCCCTTCAGACCACCGGCGTACGTGAGCTCGGAAGAAACAAGAGGTAGTATGCCATAAAGTCAGCAATATTGTCTTAATATGATTAATAATGCGCAATCGTTTGTGCTTATCGGAACTATGTATACCTCCCTGCCCTAGCGGTAAACAAGTAGATGTTTTTTTAAAGGAGTTAGACACGTTTACTTTGTCAGAGCGGAGCGAACTCGGACGCGCTAACTTCCCGGGTACCCATAGTTAGCATCTGGTACCAGATTTCTAAAGGGAGGTGATGTGGAGGTGCCAAATGTTTGCGTGATTTACTGTGAGATTATTTAAAGTGTGTAGCTGTCTGTGGGGAATGATGAAAAACACATGAATGTTTTAGAGAAACATTATTTTCTGTGATTATTTTTCACCGGGCACTGTGACCTTGTGTGTGCAGCTAATGCTAACATTAGCATAGGCTTAAGATGAACGTTGGACATTTGAGCGCTCTGTCAACTATGTTAAGTTTGTCAAGTATGTTAACTTCTGTATGTACAAGTCTCATGTCGTCTTTTTTTCTATTAAAGATAGAATATATAAATGTCAATAATGGTCCTATGCCAAATTATCATGACGGAACAGGAAAAGTACTATGCTTGATATTTGTTTAAAAAGTAAGAGTATTTCCTTTAACATTCGACCAGACATCGTACTGTTTTCTAATGAATCTGTACATGGGATTTATTGATGGAGTTGTATATTCTGCAGATTATGTCGATCTTATATATGTTCAGAGAAAACCACTTGAGAAAATGCAGCATAAACATACTTGTCATGAACATACTTCAGTTTTCATTTATAAATGTCTTTTGACCTCCTCCATAGAATGCTGGCCACAAGAGCCCTTAACCTTATTGGCAAACGTGCCATTTCCACATCTGTCTGTCTACGTGGAGGACATGGTAAGTGGATGTGACAGGGAAAGCGCTTTTTTGTTAATGCCATCCATTGTGATAGTCGATTTTTTTCTGCTTAATTAAACAGTTCTTCAGATGAGATGCAGATTTAAACTTTGCTACATCGGCTTGTGAAAAGATAGGGTACTTATCAAGAGTAAATTAAATTAAATTGCGATCCCATAAAGAATTACTTCTCAAGCTCACTCTCCAAAAGAATTGTAGCAGTTTAATTTTCAGCCATCAGGTCATCTTTTCAATACTGATCCAGTACTGAAGTTAGTCTTTTTATTTGCCTGCTCAGTTTAAGTGGTATGAATATGTAATATTTGGTCAGAAGAGGTTTTATTGTGCGGCATGCACTTAAATTTGTCTCAGCTAGACATCATGGTATCTATTTCTGGGTTGCAAAGCAAATGCAGTAAATGGCTATTCAATTGATCAATTAACTGCTTATTCTGTTTTGTTTTTGGTAACGTTTCAAGAGAGAAATGACATCAGTTCTTGTCTTTTTCTGTAGGTGTCGCTAAGGTGGAGGAATACACTCTCCCTGCTTATTTTGATAGGAGGGAGAACCCTCTCCCTGATGTGACCTTCGTGCAGAACCTGACTGCAGACCAGAAGGCCCTAAAAGAGAAGGAGAAGGGCTCCTGGGCTGCACTCTCTAATGACGAAAAGATTGCATGTAGGGATTCATTAAGCATACTCTTGCCGGTCAAACTTGTGATATTACCAGTGATTTTTGTAAATGCACATTTTTAATGTGTCTGACTTGGGCTTTTTCCACTCTTAGAATTCTTAACCTAGACTTGTGCCTCCTTTGTTCAGTGTACCGCATCAGCTTCAAACAGAGCTTTGCTGAGATGAACCAGGGCACGGGAGAGTGGAAGTCTGTCGTTGGAGGAATTTTGTTCTTCCTTGGTTTCACTGGCTTTGTTGTGCTTTGGCAAAGAAAATATGGTAAACATACTTTTCTTTTTTTCTTTTTTTTCAATCAACATTATAATGTTCACCACACGGCTGGCTTGTTTTAAAGAATATTGTAGTATTATATTATATTGTATAACTTTCCATGTGTTGAGTTGTAGGAGTACAGCTTCACTCATTTGACACCATCTTTTCACAGTGTATGGAGATGTCCCAATTACATTCGACCCAGAATACAAGCAGAAGGAGCTGCAGCGTATGTTGGACATGAGGATCAACCCAGTTGAGGGCTTCTCATCCAACTGGGACTACGAGAACAAGCAGTGGAAAAAGTAATAAACCCCGGAGAACCACAAGAAATGGTTGATCAAATCAGACCCAACTCAAAGATACAAGAAACCTTATATTTCTGTATTTATCAAACGTCCAAATTACCTCAGTCAGTGCATTTTGGAAGACCACTTCCTCCTAAGGTCCTTGTGTATAATAGAAGAATAAAAAAAAATGTTAAACCAAATGAAACTTCTAAAGTCTTTATGTTTGACTCACACATGACATGACCACTTTTTTTGCTTAAACAGATAACATTTTACAATTGAAAGAAATGAACAAGACTTAATTTATTCTAAAACATAATACAATTCATTGATTATATTCAAATGGAAATGGTGTTATGAAGTGTAACTTAATACTAAACATGAGTTTTTTTTGTTTAAACCATTTATCACCCAAAAACGACACTATTTATGGTGTATATACAGTCTGAGTTTCATCGTGGGGTGAGAAAAGAGATCGGAGAGCTCGATTGGAGAAGGGTGACCATCATATGACATATTTAGAAAGTTTAGATATGGTTAACCTGAAAGTGTTTGACTTTGAACCCTTGAGATCAATACAGGTGTCTGTGAGATTAGGACAACTAAATGATGGCACACAATTCCCTTATTTGGTTAAAATATGTCGATACATACACGGTACATATTGACATGCCTTTATTGGCCTTATGATGAAAACGCTGGTTCCGGGAAGGCCTCTGGGAGCTGGTGAAGGGCGGACGGAGGCCAGATGAGGTGACATCCTGCTCGGCACGCCGTGATGTCATGACCGGATGGGCCCGCCGCCGCGCGCCGCTTCACGTCAAAACAATCCGGAAGACGGCACTGCACGACGGGACCGTTGCTGGAGCGGAAAAGGAGGTCAAGGCTGACTCTACATGCAACCGAGACCGCGTTTAATAATGCCGTTTAGTATGGGCCAAAGTTAGCCGAGAGTCCCCGGCTGCTCGAAGAGTTTCACGTCCGCCCAGCCTGGCGTTTGGGGCTCAAAGTCCATGTAGCGTAGCGTAGCTGCTCGATATAAAGGGTCGTAGCCGAACGCAGACAGGCTCCGAGTCGCCATGGGCAACGGAATGAATAAGGTATGTGCAGTTTCTCCTCCTTTAGTCAAGCCGTTACGCTGTGTGGGACTTTTCTTTCTTCTTTGTGGCCAAGCCCCACACAGCGTGGCCAGGAAACGCCTTCACTGCCATTCAACGTCCGTCCATTACGTCACATGTTTTGCCATAGGCTGAAGTGAAGCAAAAACTAAAGGTTGCACACTGATATCACCCTTTTTTCCGGCTTATCACAGCTCATGTTTTGGGTAATGTCCATAAGAAAGATGCAGGCTACCTCTTTATTTACCTCTTTATTTAGTTTGAGAAAGTTGTGTGAATTGATGCTGAATTATGATTTAGTCGTTAGGGCTTAATGCAAATTATGTGGCTTTTTTTTTTTTGCTTTCTTCCTGAAAACCTTACTGAAGTGCTTATAAACAACCCTTTATATCCCTGCATATAGCCTTTCTGATGTTATGATGGCAGGATCAAATGACTGAGTCAGTATACTGTTACACTTCATTTCGGGGAATATCATTTTCAGTACACAGTAAATAATTACCCAAATAAACCTGGCAAATGCAGGAAGATCCATATTGAATTAACCATCATAACAGTTGGATATATCAAACAATAAGATTGAATAAATCTGAATGTATTTCTAACCTTATTTCTGTGTGTTTGCCCGTTATATTTTTACGTCTTGTGTTTCGTGGGTGGAGCACAATTATGTGATTTGAGTCAGAAGAAGCAGCAGCAAGCCAGAAGTATCCATGAGTAACGGACCTAATCCCACATTTCACTGTCTGAGCCTAGGTTAAAACAAGTCTTAATAGACAAGATCCTTGTGTCTAAGGCTGCAGGGTGAATGTGTCTTAATTCAGCCTTCCATTAAGTTATTTTCATAATTCCTTACACTCATAATGCATTCCTGGTGGTCAGTAACAGTGTTGTATTGGGAGATTCAGTATCTTGATTGTGGACACATTATTATTGTTTTACTGTCATCAGATAAAAGTCAGATGATCTTTGTCTCTTATCAAATTGTCTGTTGAGATTGAATTGCTGAAATTTGATTACTAAATGTTGACCGATAGCATTCACGTCCAAAATGACCTCCATTTCAAGTCCAAAGAAAACAGATGTCAGTATATGATGACTAAAGGAAGAAGATCTGCATCTGCATTGATTTTTTTCTCCCTCAATGATATTCACAGAAAGTTTGTCTTATATTTTATCATTCTGTTTCCAGGACTGGCAATGGCCAGTTCATAGTTCTGGTACAAAAGGAGCACACTTGCCACTCATTACTTCTTGATAATCACAGACCGCTGCTTCAGTCCTTGTATGGCTGTCGGGGACGTTTGCTTAGTTCTTAAGTCATAAGCCTTAAATCCAACCTGGCTTGACCTGGAACATTTTCTCTTGGCTGAACTGTATTGAATTTGTAACCCGACATGTCTGTGACTGCTTCGCAGGTTGTTGACGGGCTCTACCTGGGGAATATAAGAGGTAAGAAAAACACAATATTTAAAGTGTAGACATAAGTATATAAGTTTAGATGGTCAATTACCAAGAAACAAAGCCATCGTCATTAGGTAAAAATGCATGGATTGAAGGAGGACTGGCTGAGTAATAGTTCCCTGTAAATTTTCAGATTTTACATTTTTGTTCAGATTCAACTTCATTTAATTTTTCATTTCAATGCAATCCAGACTTAGAATAATTCAAAACATCCTTTAAACCTAATTTTTGACTTCCGGTTCAAGAAGCCAAAGTCAGAAGCGTCAACTCTGGATGTTTTTTCCTTTTAAAACAGGATTTTAGAGTGACAAACCACCAGTGATTGGTAGACTAAATTTAGACTAATATTTTCTGATAATCTTTGTGTGTGACTGCCTCTGCAATGAAGCGCCACCTCTTCCCCGTTAATGTGGGGAGTGTTGTAACTTTAGCCGCCTTAATGATGCCTTCACATGATGGCAGCAGTAAGATGGCTAAAATTAGTCAAAGTGACAGGAGCAAGTGACGGCTCAGAGGCAGCTTTTACAGCCCTTTGGTGTCCTTTAGACAAATCTGCAGGTTTTAACAGTGAGATTTTTTTTTCTTACTTTTAGTTTCATTGTTTTATTTATTGCTTTGTGTATAAGTTAGCAATGTATTTCCCAAACGTCCAAAACCAACTGGGAAAATGAGTTTCATAGAATAGGAATATTTCTTTCATCATGTATGTGCTCACATTTGTGTATCTGTGATGGGACCATAAAGGCTGATAAAAGTCCCCTGCCAGACTGGTGAGATTCGTTCCTTTCTCCCTTTGTCACAGATTCAGAAAACAGAGACAGTCTGTCCAAAAATGGCATCACCCACATCCTCTCTGTGTACAACAATGCCAAGCCAGTGTTTGAGGTTAGTGGAGGAACCAGGACGGCTGTTTTTTTTTTTTTAGGCTTCTGTGTGTGTGGGATCAAATCAGAGCTTCCTGTGGAAAGTTTTACCTGGATTTTTCAATTTCACCTCTTTAGTCTTGTCATTTGTCCGGTCGGCCAGCTGGGGGTAGTGATGAGTCACGTTTGAGTGGCGGAGGCCAAAATTCTGCAGGGCCTGTTTTTAGAATGAGGAGCTGATGACTGAAATTGTGATTGTTACAAATCTCAAACCTGGAGTAAATAGTGGGCCCTGACTCGTGTGTGTGACTGATTTAATGTGTGTGTTTGTGGGTATGAGATTCACACTCATAGTTGTTTTTCATTTTTCCAGTCATAACCAGCCTTATAGCTCACGTTTTAGTACACAGAGTTTATTAAACAGCTAGAAGAATTTGTTAAAACGCGTTCCCTAGTTCAGAGATTGTCCCACATGCATGCCTAATAATGGGTAATAATCTGTCAGTTATCTTACCTCCTGTTTTATGACTCCTTTGCAGGACATGACATACCTGTGCATCCATGCAGCTGATGCTTCCAGCCAGAACTTGTGAGTATACAGACGTGTGCAATATGATGAATACTGCTTTACGTATGCAATATTTGGCTAATTTTGTGGCGTCTAGGTGGAAATATACATTAGTTACTATGAATCACAAGTTCAAGTTCAAGTGTTGACATGAAGCTGTGCTTTATGAAGAAAGGGGCCAGTTTATTGGAAAAGTCAATCTCTTCCATTTTGTAACGTGTAAAACAGATGATGTCGTGCTGAGTTCCTTCTCTACATTTGGTAAAGATTGAACTCGATAATTATTTTTATAGTTGAGTGGAGTCTTTTTTTTTCATGAGCAAGACATTTATTGTGCAAAGTGTCGTTGTTAACCAGGAGGCAGGCTGGGTGTTGAAAGAAGCATGAGCTAGCCCCTCCACCCTCGTAGCGTCTGCTAACGCCGCATTAGTCATCGCAGTAATGACTGTTCCCATGCATGGCATTCGACCTCCATTTGCTTTAAGCACACGGAGATTCACCGGTCACGGACGACAGTTTGAGGGCCAGAAGGGTTTCAAAGTTGAAAACAAATTTTTGTCCGACGCTGGCAAAATCCCAGTGTGCGTTTTTGTTGTTCTGACTAAACTGGTGGCCTCAGAGGATGGTGGGGTTGCTGCAAAAGATGCTTCACATGGGATATCCATAAGGGGCTTAAAAAAAATCTCCAACAGAGGGGTCTGGACGAGTCGGCTGCTAAAATCTGATTACCTCTTTTTCTTGGTGCGTAAAGCAAACAAAGCAGAACTGGCCGAAGTCTTAACTTTGTGGGGTTTTATCTTTCGCGGTCGGTTGGATGTTGGTGATTAGGCCGATGCCGGAGGTGTCTGACCTCCACTGTCGCAATCAGGCGTCCTTCCCTCAGGCACCAGAGGAAGGAAACCTCCTACTGACATCTGGCTGTGTGCTTCGACCATCCAGGGCTCCGATAACCCCCCCTCTGTCACAATCACTGGTCTGACTGACTGACTGATGCGAGGCGGAGGCCAACTGTCACCCCAACACGCCCGCCGTCATCCACAGGACCCCGCGGCCAGACCGCGTGGCTCCTCCCACACACCTTCCATTGTGGGATCTTTCTGAATCGGGCTCTGTATATATTTTTTGGAACTGAACTAGTTGGAGGCTCTCTGAAATACAGTCAATTGGCACTTTGGAGTTTGGCTCATATTCAAGGAGGTTAAATTCTGCAGGCCCCAAAACAGTTTAGTCTCAAAGGGCATCATGACCAAAAGCATTTATTCGTTTGAAAAATAACTAGCGGAGACAGTTTCTGTGATTTGTCAGGTGCTTGCTAGCTCAAAAGTGGATTTTACTTTAACTGTCATTTGAATAGCTTCCTATAAGTTCTCACGAAAAGGATGTTGGTTTTAATATACCGTGTGCACTCACCATAAAGGTGTAAACTCATTTGCGTCAACGTGTTTTGGTTTTTAAAAAAAAACAGTTTTGCTCTTTAAATCTCAGTATATTCTTGTGTTCTCCTCCTCATTCAGCCGATAGAAACCTCAAATCATTGTCACAAGTTAATTTTCTGCATATCGAACGAGACGGCCGGAAACCTCTGTGCACAGGACACAACAAAGTGCTGAGGAGACATGTTTTAAAGAGGAGTTTGGATCTCAGGAAGGAGGAAAGTGACAGTCTATTTTAGCCCCTGTCTGTTACTCTGTCTGCTATTGAGAAACCAGCATCTGCTCCTTTGGAGACGTCCTATCAGCCCCTTGATTATGCAAAAACAGTATCAGTGTTTCCTGACACTGAACTGGTGGGATATCTGATGAGCAGCTGTCCCTCTTCCTGTTGTCCAGTGCTCAGTTTTATTTCAGAGAAAAGTTACATTTCCATTATTTATGTGATTTTTTTTTTTAATTTATCTTATTTTTTGGCCTAAAAGCTGCCATGTTTTTTGGGAACCTCTTGTTGTATAGTTATAGTTGTATAGTTGTTGTAAGTTTAAACGACTCACATGATCATTCATTGACTAAATAGATCAAAGCTGTAAACTGATGAAAAATTGCAGATAGACAAAAATGAAGACGGTTACTTCCCTTGTCTGCCCCTTCTGTCTGTGCTCTGGTCTACCACAGACTCTCAGTTTGAGCAGAGCCAACATTTTCCTCACATGACAGCTTGGAGTAGCTTGGGAAAGACAAAGTCACAACTCCTTAATCATAACGAGGTCTCTTTTTTACGCAGTTGGCTAAAAGGCTCACATTATTTGAATGCAGCCATTTTTTCAGTCGAAATCAAAACATCATCAAAATTTCAGGAATGGTTTTCAAAGGTATGGTTAGGGCCTCAGCTCAGGGGTTTCAGTTCAAGGTGTCGTTTCTCATATCCTGTAATGTGAAAGCCATTTTTAGCCTTACAGTCTACCTTAGCAAAGAGCATGGCTGGTACTTTTGGTTTGACGAGAAGACATTTCTTGACGCTTAACCCCGCAAAGGTTACATTTAAGAAATGCCTTCCAATGTTTTAACTGTTCTCATGTTTCATCTTTCCAGATTACAACATTTCAAAGAGTGCATCGGGTTCATCCATGAGTGTCGCCTGAATGGTGGCGCCTGTCTAGTTCACTGGTAGGTTCCTTTGTAAGATCTAAGCAGGTGCCCCTTGGAAAATGGACAGTACACAGAGCCCGAGTTGATGTTTCTTTATTGTAATGGCTGTGTTTAGCCCACAAGGACTTACTGAAACATAAAGCTGTGAATTGAAAACAACTAAACTGACCAAATGCTGTTTTGTTTGGTCTTTTTCATAGCCTGGCAGGCGTATCCCGCAGCACTACCATGGTGGTGGCCTACCTGATGACCGTCACCCACTACAGCTGGGAGGAGTGTCTGTCAGCAGTCAAAGCCGTTCGCTCTTTTGTCGGCCCAAACTACGGCTTCCAGCAGCAGCTGCAAGAGTACCAGGCCACACAAGTCTCAGAGGTAATGCTGTGAGCAACGAATGCCACCAGCAAGCTCCCAGCTCACTTTTACTCTGTGAACAGTTAAGAAAAGACATTAAAAAAAAGAAGCTTTATTTTCCCATTCTTAGCTGTAGCTTTTACAGTGTTGCATTCTTGAAATGTCTTTGCGTTTAACTTAAATCCCCATACACACTCTCACTCTTGCAGGATGTGACACATACGACCATCAGAGTCTATGTGCAGTCTGTGGTTTAGCTGTCAACTCCTAATCTCATTCCTGCTTGGTGCAACGGCCCAGAAATACTGTCATGTTTTGGTTTTCCCTGCAGAGTGAAATAAGCAGGATCTTATTGACAGAGGTTATGGCCTTTAGCCCTCTTGACTGAGATTATCTTCTACAACTCCATCAAAAAATACAAAAATTGTAGGCATACTAAGCAATGTCAGTTTGAAGTATTATTTAGCTCTAAATTGTGTAACGTTAACACTTCATTTTACCTCAACACAAACTGCTTAAATGTGTGCACTTATTCATGTTTACCTGGACTTTTAACCAGCGTTTCCTATATGAAGTGATTCTTATCCCCCTTCAAACATCCATGGTACTTTAAAAAAAGTTTTGAATTAAATGTGTTATCTGCATATCTGCACGATTCATTAGAGAATATCATGAAAGACTGAAAAACATCAGGTCATCGGGACAAACATCAGCATCATGTTGCTCACAGGCTTCAGCATTATGAGTAGTTATGGGCCACTTGGCGTGTGATGCCATTACAATGGCGTCGTCCCTGTAGAGTGGTAGTGAAGTAAATAAGGGGAACTGCTGGGGGGGGTTTGCTTGGATTGCATTAGCTCGGGCTCTGCTCATCACGTGTTTAGCATTACTGTCAGCATCTTGCAACATAACATGACTGAAAAAAATCGCTCATTGTTTTTGGGCCTTGCACTGATTTCGAGGATTAAAGGGGAAATGCGTTTTCTGTATTTGTGATTTTCCCACATGTGTCTCAGATAGAAAGTGAGGAATCTGAAGACGACAACTTTCATCTGTAAGCGGCTTACTGCCAAAGCATAGAAGTGAAGGGCGTACACGACATCCCACCGGGCTAGAGCGGTTAAGTTAGAGGGAAAAACAGCGAAAAATCAACTCTGTTGACATTGTTCACGGCTATGTACAAATGACTATTACCGTTTAACTCACCAGAGTGTTGTTATGAGGCAGCTGGAAAGGGTTAAAAAAATCCCCCTATTTCTTTATGTCCTATTAAAGGTTCCTCTGTTCTCTAAAATGACTTGGTTGGAGCTGAACTGTTCCTGTCGGCCCGAAGCTGTTCGAGCTTAAACACCGACACAGTTTTTCTAATCTATCACAAACTCACTTGTGTGACGTGAGGCACGTGAAAGCACTTTGTGGCTTCTGACAGTCGATGTTATTATTTTCAAGATGACACCAGGACAGCCGATGGCAGGTGTACCTCAATGTCCAGACGCCATCAGTCTGGATATTGATCCGATCTCCACACTCATTGTAGCCCTTTTACTCATTTTTACAGATGGGTTCCTCGTATGAGTCAGTTTTGTGCTGTTGTGGTCTTTGAAACTAAATAAGAATTCTAATTTTAGAAAGATGAATGTTTTGATTTCACTGTGTGACTTTCACTTCATTTTCTTAAAAATCAAGCGGGTATTGCAAGAATAGAGGGACGATTCCTTGACATCGTTTTCCCGATCGGAGGTCCTCACTGTTATGAGCTGGTGTTGGTCTGATGCACATTTCTAAAGCAACAGCTTTTGTTTGGAAAGAAAAGCTTATTTTGCAAACTCTCTAAAAGCCATTACTGTATTTCACCCCTCAAGTCACCTGTTGTGTCACCTTTCTCTGTGTCCACACCAGAATTTCATTCCTAAATCCATCTGCTACTATTCTCCTTTTTTTTTTAAATCCAGATATGTTTACAAAAGCAACACTAATTAAAAGTGAGTAATAACTATGTTTGTAAAGCTACAGTGATTAATCTAAAATTAAGAAAACTGTCGCAAAAAATATAGATCAAAACTAAACGTGTCTAATACTTTTCATTGTGCTATTCGATTTATGAACTTTTTATAGACTCCCCGTCGAACAGCACCAAATTGCAAATTGAGTACTTGGTGGCTTCAACTGTATTTTCATTATCAATTGTCAATGTGGTTAAAGAGAATTCTTGTTTTTCCTCTGGTCCCCAGTATCGGGCCTGGTTGCAGTCCAGTTTCCGTCCCAGTCCGTTCAATGACCAGGAGCAGGTGGGAGCCCTGCTGAGCCAGTTCACAGAGCAGCAGGAGAGCCAGAGGAGATCAGCAGACCAGAGGACGATAAACCAGGGGACAGGCGTCCGGGATCTGCCGCCCAGCACTGATCGCGCTGAGGGCGGCAGCTAGAACATGGACAAACATCTGGGAAGCACAGCGATATCTGGAAGTGTTGTTCAAATTTCAATGTCAGCCCCAAGCTTTACTCAAAGGCCAGCCAGTGCAAAACTAAAGGGAAAAAAGAAAAACTGAATTTCCCCAGTCAAAGCTTATTTCAGTTGCTGATTCAGAGTTTTGTTAAGCACCAGTACCTGCCACTAAAGCCACATCCAGAGTACCAGAGCTCAGAGGCGCCTTACTATGAACACTCCAGCACCTTAGCCATATCATGAAGTCCCAGGTTTTTGTTTTGTGCTGGTCATTACACTTGCAGCATTCGGCTCAGTAGCCTTAAAGTCACGACTGATTTATGCTCACTTAATTGAATCCTTTACCTCCAGTTATGTTGACTCTGCACTGGGAGCAGATCTACAGATGGTCAGCCACACTTTGGGGTTCATCTGATATGCACTTGAAACTCTGCATTTTGTAAATTTATTGAGTTTTTTGTCTTTATCCCACCATTTTCCCACAACATTGTCGTGTATCGCATTTGATGGAGATTTGTTGTTTCATTCAGAACATCTTGTAAGTAAATTCCACTGTGTAAACACCAAAGATCCACTGTGGAACTTATGATTGGGTAGAAATTGATGGTGATAACGCTGATTAACTATGTACAAAGGTTACGCTTTATGGAGTTACAAGGACAAAGAACACAATGTGTGTGAAGCTGGAGGGGTGCGGGTGCGTTTTGAAACATACCTTTTAAAACCGCTATGAGCGTCATGGACTTTTTTAAGCTTCATTAAATATTCCTTTTTTTTTTAATTTAACCTTAAATACAACAACATTGAGATTAAAAACCTCTTTTTCAAGGGCCAAGAGGCAGCAAAGCTACACATTGAACAGAAATACATTTACATGACATTAAAATGACAGGTGCTTAAGAAAAGCATATCAAGTAAAAACAATTACAGATAACTGAGGCTGTCTCGAATTCTCTCGTTTTCAATGTAAAAGCATTTAAGGATAAAAACTCAGTCAACTTCCAGTCTCTTTGTAGAGAGAGCTGCAGTGATGAAGGCTTTCTTCACTCGCTCTGTGCGGGAAAAAGGAACAGTGAGCAACAGCTGATCGTTGGATGTCGGGCCATAAGAGGCCATGCTTCTCTTAAGGTTAGACAGAAGGTTCAAATGGAAAGCTGCACAAACTATTTTGAGTTCTAAGTATAATTACACCGAGGTCCCATTGCTAAAGTCTTCCTGACATCACTAAAGCTTTTAACTTACCGTCTTATTGTGACAAAACAGTTCTTTTTTTAATGGAATTATTGTTGAATCTCTTATAAGATTATAAGTGTCTTTTTAATTGTGTATTTATGGTGGGTTTTTTTGTGTGTTTTTTTATGACAATTGCTAATAAATCTACACTGTCAACACCACTGGTATATTTGGGTTTATTCATGAAGGTAAAACATATTTTAAACGAATACTTATGAATTCAGAGGTACACAAAAGTATGAAATGGCATGATGACCACAGTTTGACAACAACAAAAAAATTGTACTCTCAGAAGTTTTAATGATGTGGAGTTTTAAATGAGGGGGAAAAAAGTGCAATTCAAATGAGATTATTTATGTGGCACAAATTCACAGAAAATGACACTCCCAGCATGCTTATGATATAGTCTCATTCCCAATGTGAAGCAGTTGATAACCAGTTAAATAAAACCCCATTTTATGTTTTACTATTACTGTATACATGTGGGGTTGGGGGGGGGGGGGGGGCATCTTATTGAAACATCTTCAATTATTTCATCATCGCTCCAGAGAAAGTAGTATAGAGGAAAAACTCCATTGTAAGAAAAGGAAACTTCTGGAAGAAACAGCTTGTGTGTAATAATTTATTATAGCTTATATGGCTTTAAAGCCAAAAAAAGGCTTCCGCGTCATCTTAACTTTTAAATGTTATCTTTTACTACATCCATGTTTGTTACATAGAAATGTGTCTGTCATACACTAAATGATGAAGAAAACGAAAAACAGTGCTAATTAATATTCCCCTTTCCTCCCCCTCTCTTTTACAAATGTGTTATAAATGTATAAAGTTATTTACAACGCTGGGGTAACACTGAGAGTGGAAAAAACACTATCTCTCATTGCTGGCACACATTCCTGCTTTCTTGTGTCTTCCCAAGGACTCTGCACGGACAGGCCTCTGCGGCTACCTGAGAAACAACCGCATTGTTTCACTTCACAGAGGTGAGTGGGCGAGATGGGGACGTTGGTCTGGAGTCCAAAAATCCCCCACAGCTCACAGTAACTTGTGACTTTACGGTTTTTTATCAGCGCCCCCCGCCTGCGTGGCTTTGAGCGTGGGCAGAACTAAAAACACGGCTCGCGTCAGACCCGTCAGACCATTTCTTGTAAATACCCGGGGTTCGTAGAAGAAGTCTTCCTGAACTGGGCGGTCTTACCGGAGCTCCGACACGCTCATTGGTCAGAGAGGGGACGCGTCATCAGGTACAGTCTCGGCTATTTCATTCAATGCTCGGAGCACAATAAACTGACAGGCGTCTGTTAAGCGGACTTGACTAAACTTCTCAGAGAACAGCAGCACACACACACACACACATAGCCAGAGGTACATCTGCCCAACTAGCTGTAAGTGTTTCTTTTTTAGTGTTTTGATCTTACGAATGGAAATTATTTTGTTTGTTTTTGTTAACTTTGAATCATTTTAAGATGAATTATTCAAATATTGATTTGGCTTCGCATTCAATATGTTTTATACTATCGTGTGAATTGTATTCTCCTAATCTAGGAACGACTGAAGAATTTAAAGAAAATCTCTGTCAAGATGTCAAGCTCAGGAGGTCGGAGACTGAAGCAGTGGCTGATAGAGCAGATCCAGAGTGCGCAATACTCTGGTCTGCAGTGGGAGGATGAGAGCCGCACCATGTTCCGAATCCCATGGAAACACGCGGGAAAGCAGGATTACAACCAAGAAGTTGATGCATCGATTTTCAAGGTTTGAAAGCTTTCTTGTTCCCTGGAAATGTGAAGGTGAAAGTTTGCACAGCACCGTACGCGTAAAAGCAAAAGTAGCGGATGTTTCCTGGCAGCTTTATTGAGGGCTTTTGAGTTCTAATGGCAAAACAATAGTTCAGACCTTTAAATGTTATTATAAAAAAAAAGAAGTGGACATTTCTTTTCTTTCTTTCTTTCTTTCTTTCTTTCTTTCTTTCTTTCTTTCTTTCTTTCTTTTTATTTCTTATTAATAGTTAATCTAGGGCTGCACCAACCAGATCTTTGACCTTTCATTCTTGCTTCCAACAGGCCTGGGCTGTGTTTAAAGGCAAATTTAAGGAAGGGGACAAGGCTGAGCCAGCGACTTGGAAGACCAGACTCCGCTGTGCCCTCAATAAAAGCCCTGACTTTGAGGAGGCGACTGAGAGGTCACAGCTGGACATTTCTGAGCCCTACAAAGTGTACCGCATTGTACCCGAAGAAGAGCAAAAGCGTGAGTTTGCGAAGTGTTGCATATCCGTTTCTCCTACTGTGTTACACCTGTGCTGTGAAGTCAGTGCAACCTCTTGTCTCCTCTTTGCAACAGTGGAATTGAAAAAAGGAAAGCTGATTTGGGATTATTGTTCATTTTATAATTATCTTCGCCTGTTGCAAATAGTGTAACTCATATTTGTAAGGCTGAAATTCCATGTGTGACGAATATAAATAATAGAAAGACATTGGAGCAGGTAAACTCCCTACTCAACATTTAAAATATAAACATAATCATTTTCACCCACAGATGGGAAAAGCTCATTGATGGCCGTGGCAGCTCCGACAGGCTCTGCTGATTTCACAGACATGGACTGCAGCCCCGCAGAAATGGAGGAGCTAATTAAGGAGGTGATTAAACCTCTGACTTATTTTAGAATTTACCATTATACATCCACACCTCCCCCACTTCTGTTTCTCAACGCTTGTGGCCCTTCATTGACACCCTTTTTTTGTCACCTTTTTTTTAGTTCAATACCACACGGTATTGTCTTCATAAACGCCTGTTGCACTGAACATGCACATCCTCCACCTTGATGTTTACAGCTAAAAAATGTATGGTGTTGCAGAATCAAACTACAGTGTTGTCTATTTTCAGGAAGAAGGGTGTGCCATCCAGGCCAGTCCAGAGTACTGGTCCCAGGGCAGCGTCAATGGTAAAGCAAACTTATTTATTCATTTTTTCCTCACAACCTCAAAGAAAGACTGTTAGACATTTCTTAGATTATAACTTCTTAGTTTGAATTCCCTTCAAAAGAACCCCAAAGCTCAGCTAAGTATCCCCACAGCTGTTGCTGCTAAACAGAGACTATTTGCTTGTTTCGTCAGTTTAGGAATGGAAGTATTGACTAATATCCTGTTGAACTTTGCTGACTGAAGTGATTATTTTCTGTAAGATCGTGCTAGAGAAACGGTATTTCTGATGATGCAGCAAAGCAATGACATGACAATGTGGTTATGATCGCCATGGCAAAAAAAGGGACCTTAATCATCTCTTCCTTCTGTAATTCACAGCATTCCCATTGCATCAGGAGCCTTTACCAACTGGCCCCCTCAACACAGGTATACACTTACCCAGTCTAAGTAAACATCATTATGATATCTGCCCTACAGATAGTGGTAGGATATAAAAAATGAATGGCTTCTTCATATTTTGTTGGAATTTGAAATTATACAGAGCGTCTTCTTCTCCAGCTTTTTCCCAGATACTGATCAACTTCTTCTATGGAGGAAAGCTGATGCATAACACGCTGGTAACTCACCCCGAGGGCTGCCGGATTTCCCCCCAGCAGCACCTGGGTCGTGGTGCGCTCTACAGTTCAGACAGCATGCAGAGCGTTCACTTTCCCTCCGCTGAGCTCATCGAGTATGACCGGCAGCGCTACGTCACACGCAAGCTCCTGGGTCACCTGGAGAGAGGTGTGCTGGTCCGTGCTAACCAGGAGGGCATCTTCATCAAAAGACTTTGCCAAAGCCGCGTCTTCTGGACCGGACTGGGAGAAGTGAGCTCCCAATACAACCCCATGCCTGGTAAACTGGAGAGGGATGCTGTCGTCAAGATTTTTGACACCGGAAGGTTTTTCCAAGGTGAGAGTCTTTGCTAATTAGGTATATGTCGATGGTTAACATTTCATTTTCATGTTGAGGTTTAAAGGAAACAAGTCTTCACATTTGTCTGAACTCCGTTTATCTGAAATGTTAAAGCTCTGCAGCTGTACCAGGAGGGTCAGATTCCTGCTCCTGATCCCACAGTGACACTTTGTTTTGGAGAGGAGCTCAGTGATCTCAACAGTGCCAAAGGCAAACTGATTATCGTGCAGGTAAGTTCTAACACGCATCTCACATGTTAGAGGACCCCTAACAGGCTCACGTCACTCATGTTGATCCTTCAGGGACAATGACAATCTTCCTGTCTTCTCTTCCTATCACAGATCACCTCTGTCAACTGCCAGCATTTGCTGGACACCATGAACATGCGTCGCTCTCAGCCTTACTGCAACAACGCAAACCTGGAGATGTGTGACGACGTGGCCACTGACCAGATGGCTCGCATCTACCAGGACTTATGCAGCTACAGTGTACCCCAGAGGCCGGCCTGCTACAGGGAAAACATGCCCATCACTGCCTGAGCTGTGAGCAGCAGCATCTAAAGGGAGCATGTACCGGACCGAATGTACGACATATCAGGGGCATTTCATATTTATTTTATACACCGATACGTGCACAGATTAGCGGAATTCAAACTAAGGAAGATAAGGAAGTCCTCATCTTTTCCGCAACAGTAAGATTTTTCAACCAAAGTTCGAAAGTAAATGGACCCCAGTGTACTCTATGTAACGTCTTTAATTGTATCCATGCAAAGCTAACACCAAAATGTGTTTAAGCTCAGTTATACGTTGTAAGAAGGTGTTCATTTATTTAGACAAATCAGCCCAAATACTTTGTACATAGAAAACCCAGATGGCAGGCCTACAGCGCAAACAGTTTAGCTCTTCAAACGGGATTTTACTTCATCAGCATTTTTTGGTTTTTGTTTCTGCAGCTGAGATGATTCATTTTGTGACAACCATCTGATTTAACTCAACAGAGGGGACTTTTTTTATAGCATATTCTATTTCTTGCAGAAAATGAAAATATTTTTTATACGTTGACAGAAATGACATTTCTGAAAATCTAGATGCAGTGTGGCATTAAAGTACAGATAGGTTTTACTATCAGACTATTTTTACATTTAGAGCTCTATTTCTTCTTTTTCTTTTTGTAAACTTCTTTTCTAAATAAAACTTTCTACTGAACTTTTCACGCGTTTCTCTTTATGCAGTAATTGTTGTTTGACTCATCTTGGAGTTTTGAATGACACAAACTGTTGTGACAGCATAACCCGGCTGAAGGGCAGAGGTCAGAGCTCTGAATGTGCTTTCGGGCAGGATCTTACACCTCAACAGAAATGTAAGAAATCTATATAATCAGATGTTTGTGATTTAAACGAATTTTCAACAAATTCAGAACATCTAAATAACTGAATAGTTATGTTTCAGACTAATTTTAAATAAGAGCTTGAACTGCACTTGGCTGTACAAATACAAGTATGTGGGTCTGAAAACATTACAAATATTATCAGGTTTAATCTAAAATCAATGATCTGTTTGATATTGTTGTCACGGTGACTGGAGAATTTTAAAAGACCTACATGAGTGGTTAATTTGAGAGGAAAAAAGTATCACACTCTCCTTAAACAATTAAAGGTTTTATAAGATGTATTATGCAATATTAGGAAAAATAATTACAGTTAGAGGGAACATTAGATTTTTGTTTCAGTACCTTAAAATATACTCTAAAGTCCCAGTTCACGAAGTCGTGGAGAGAGAGTTAACTGAGTCACCACAGTAAGTAAATTAGCAACATTCAGGGCCCACTGTAGTCCCCCCCCCATGCTGGGGTTGGTGCTGAGGATAGGACCATCCACCTGCTATAGTGAGCCCACTCTCATCTTGAAAAAGGAGGCAAAATCATAAGGATCGTGTCCTTTGGATTTCTCCAGTACTTTTATCACAATACAGCCTTCATTGCTATGTAAAGAGCTCCATTTGATAAACTGGTTGATGCCCCTAGAGCCATACTGAGACTGACCGGTAACGTGTTTGTTTGAGAAGGCAGTCAGCACCACAGGAGCGCCACAGTGAACGATTCACTTTTCACTTTGTATCACACAGTACACCTCAGACTTCACGTACAACTCAAGAGTCTTCTCATCTCCAGAAATACTCTCATGACTGTGCAGATGTTTGGTGCATGAAGAGGTGGGTTTCAGGATATTCGGTGAGAATCGTGAGGAACCAGTTTTTTTGGTGTGATTCAGTTCTTTCATTTCAATGAATCACTCTGGCTCAAAAATAATGAAACTGAAACTCTGTTTGAAACGGAATTAGGGATCTGGACAATCAACGTCAAGGACGCTCACAAACACCCCAACACAGTCATGACACGATCCACCCCGGGACAATGACATCCCTTGTTTCTGCATTTTCTCTTCTTTCTCTGGTATTTTTCATTCAGTTGGTCAGTGCAGCATGAACATCTCAGCATAATCTTAAATGCCAAATGCACACTGTGGCAGTATTGGCAAGGAAGTGCACACAACGCAGTTTGGCCCAAACATCACGTAGACATATAAAGACACCAATTACATGGAATTCCTTGAGACTTTTCTTTACCTCCAGGCCAGTGACAAAAATCTGAGCGGTTTGCAGTTCCTGTTCCAAGTAAACAGGGTTAAAAGTAATTATTTTAAAATACTATTCCATGTAAACTTGTCATTAAACTACTTGACTGTTAAATGAAACCTCAACAATAAATTAAAAACAACAAGTGGCACCCACAGTGAAATATCCCTGAAAACTTTAGTGTTTGAAGCGAAAAGACACATGTTATGTTACACATATGTTATACAAATATCATGCTCCTCATCCAACTAATATTGATAGAGGATGTGCATTTGACAAAAATAAAACTTCTATTAACTTCACATTGTACATTAAATGTATAAGGCTGTTGCCCCAGATAGTTTTGTGGGTCTCAATAGACCTTTAAAACAAAAAGAACTACAAATAAAAAAAATACTTAAAGACTCATACAAAAATCACCTGTCATAGAAGTCATGTGTGCTTCATATGACATCTTTGGATATTACCGTACTTAAATTAGAAAACAAAATTAATGGTTCAGTGAACAACACAGAAAGAGTAATGTATGTGTGTGGGTGTGTGTGGTTACACGGGGGTATACTGTCAGAAGTTCTACAGAACAGGAACTCACTTTCAAAAACTGTCCATGGAAACTGACTCTCTCTCCCCCTTGAATCAATGTTTATTTATATACTATATAGATAGATAGATAGATAGATAGATAGATAGATAGATAGATAGATA